CTGACGTTGCTTTCATTCCCAGAGTTCCTCCCTGAAGTCCCTGTAGGTTTTATGTCCAGTGTCTATCTGCTTTGTCTGGTCTGCAGACCTGACTCTGTTCTAAGGCCAGCCATGTGAAAAGCTGCTGTCTGCGCAGCCCCAGTCTGCCCTTTGAGGGGCTCCCAAAGGCCCAGTGTGCTGCATCCTCACAGGAGGTCAGACCAATGGAAGCATTATTTTCACAAGATGCCTCAGGAGGCTCTGAGGGGCACTGCCCATTAACACAATACTTCATAATGATGCTATTGTGTCTTCTAAAAAGCACAGTTCACCTGAGATTCTTAAACAAGAAAAAAAGCAACAGAATTGACATTTTCAGTTGCATTGTGGGATAAAGCATTCGGGAACACATTTGTTGTCTTTTGATAACTTCTTGTATTACTCAGAAAATGCACCCCTGATTCCAATGACATTTTTATTGAAAAGGGCATGATGGAGGTGGTGGGTGGAATTTTCTGTGATTGAGTGTGTGTGTGTGTGTGTGTGTGTGTGTGTGTGTGTGTGTGTGCGCGCGCGTGTGCACATGCACTGCCAGTCCCAGGAATTTTTTTAAATTAATATTTGAGGTTTTCCCGTCCTAGCTAGCTACTTTTCAAAGCTAGAACTTTTACCTAGAACACCTTAAATTTATTGATGGGGACTCCATGCACTGTTTCTGTCATCTTCCGGTACCCAGCCTGTGGTCCCTGCTGTCCCAGAGACTTGATTTTCAGCCTCTGGTCTGCTCTGCCCCCCTTTCCACAGCAGAGTGACACACAGATCTTCTCACTGCCCCGGTCTTTACCTCTGGTCCTGCCCTGACGTTTAGCACTGTCTTTCTGGGTGTTTGTGCCTTGTTCCCTAAGAGCAGACAGACCGCGGATGGCTAACTTGAGCATCATTTGGAAGAGTAAGAGATTCAGAAGGACACTCAGACCATACTAGGAACTACTGCATTTTGGTCCAAATCCTGCTCTGTCTACTCAACTTGCCATGTAAGAAGCACTGGCGTAAAGGCTATCTCCTTTTCCACCCACCCTCACACATCTTTCTGTCCTGCCTGCCCTGCTCTAGTCAGCCTGAGTTTGCCTGTCTCAATCTAACGTGCTTGTTCTCCAGACTTTTATGGCTTCACTTTCTGTGCCATTTATTGGTCTATGCAAGTACTTAATGGATTGCCCATCAGAGCTGGTGTCCACAGGTAGAGTGAACAAAACCAGACCTTATTTGTACCCTCATGGAGTTTGTTATGTAGTGGGGAACACAGCTAGAAACACACACCATGAGTTCCAAGTGCAGAATTAGTGAGCACAATTGGGAGAGTCTGTAACACCCAATGTGACTGGCTGGGGACACAGGGTGAGTAGGGTAATCAGAGGGAAAGCAGGAAGTACAGCAGAAGCAGGGAGGGGGCGGGCATGCTCTTCAAACCTTCGCCTGCTTTCGCTCGTCCACTTAACCAGTTAACCACGTCTCCTTTCCATGTGAATTATTCGTCCTGTTTTCTCTGTGGAGGCCCAGGCCCTCAGCACAGCCGCAGGGATGCTGTAGCCATGTGCTCAGTTGCAAATCTCATCATTCTTTTTATTCTACCATCCCATTATTGAGCAGTTGGTAAAACCAGTTTCCTTACTCTTCCAAAGCACAGTGATCAGATTTTAAACTGCCCTCTAATGCAACCTCTCTTCCTCCTCCTCTTAGTTTTGTGAGTGTGTGTGTGTGTGTGTGTGTGTGTGTGTGTGTGTGTGTTGAGGAAAAAGTCTCTATTCTACTAGTTCTGGTTGTCCTGGAACTCACTTTGTGCATCAGGCTGGCTTCAAACTCACAGAGATCCGCTTGCCTCTGCCTCCAGAGTGCTGGGATAAAAAGTGTGCTTCTTCTTTTTTTTTTTTTTTTTTTTTTTTTTTTTTTTTGAGACACGGTTTCTCTGTGTAGCTTTGGAGCCTGTTCTGTAACTCCCTCTGTAGACCAGGCTGGCCTCTAACTCACAGAGATCCTCCTGCCCCTGCCTTCTGAGTGCTGGGATGAAAAGCGAGCACCACCACTGCCCAGCTTTGATGCTTCCTTCCTAAAAGTGTCTCAAGGGCCCAGGAGAACACTCAGCTGCTAAACACCTGCCATACAAGTGAGGGCCGAGTCTGAGTCCCTTCCCCTCCACTTATATGGAGAACCATGTGCAGTGGCGGGGAGACAGCCAGGAGGATGGTGGGCAACCGGCCAGCTGGCCTGCCAAATCAGTGGTCTCTGAAAGGTAGAATAAAGGTAGAGGGTTGGTGTTGAGACAGCACAGCAGGTAAAGGTGTCTGCCCTCAAGCCTGAGTTCAATTCCTGGGGCCCACGTGGTAGGAGAGAGCTGTCTCCTAAAAGTTGTCCTCTGGTCTCCTCCACATGCTCACTGTGGCGCATGGGCGCACGCGTGCGCGCGCGCGCACACACACACACACACACACACACACACACACACACACACAGGTTTAAAGTAGGAAAAACAAAGTAGAAAGTGATTAAAGGAAGTCACTGAGCATCAACTTCTGTTGCTCTCTGGCTCCCACTTCAGGCAGGCAGACAGACAGACAGACACACACACACACACACACACACACACACACACACACACAGGTTTAAAGTAGGAAAAACAAAGTAGAAAGTGATTAAAGGAAGTCACTGAGCATCAACTTCTGTTGCTCTCTGGCTCCCACTTCAGGCAGGCAGGCAGGCAGGCAGGCAGGCAGACAGACAGACAGACACACACACACACACACACACACACGCGCGCGCACGCACAAACATACAAAAGCATTGTGGACACCCTCCAGAGGTAGCCGCTGGTTTTTCTTCTATCAGTATTGATTAGTTTTGCCCATTTTTGACTTTTAATACATGGAATTGTGTTTAGGGAACACAATTTATGTTGTCTGGCTTCTTTTACACAAAGTAACATTAGAGAAAAGCCTGTGTTGTAGGGTTTCATTCCTGTCCTTTGCTGCATACAAGTGCATGGTCTGAACATACTACAATTTATCCATCCTACAGCTGGTGGCAACTTAGGTCTCTTCCCATTTGGTTGTATTATGAAGAGTTGTGTGTGTGTGTGTGTGTTGTTTTTTCTATTTTTGTTGTTTCTATTAGGTGCACACCAAGGAATGAGATTGTTGTGTCACAGAACATGTGTATGTTCAACTTGGTAGATATATTGCTCCAAAATTTCCCAAAGTAGTTGTGTTAATTTATGTTCTTTGCAGCAGCTAGTAGAAGTTAGGAAAACTGGACACCTTCCACAGTGTTGTCAGACTTTAAGCATAGTCCTGCAGTGGGTGTGTGGGGAACTTTGTTTTGTGGCTTTACTTTGTATCTATTTGACAAGCAATTGTCTAAGTACTTCCTTTTATTTCTCCCCATGTTTTTAAAAATAGAAAGTCTTTAATTCCTTAAATTATAGGTATATGTCAGGTGGTTGTGGCATATGCCTTTGATGCCTTTAATCCCAGCACTCGGGAGGCAGAGGCAGGCAGATATCAATGAGTTCCAGGCTAGCCTGTCTACAGAGCAAGTGCCAGGATAGGCTCTAAACCTACACAAGAAACCAAAAAACAGAACAAACAAACAAAAAAACAAAAAACGGATATGCGTGTGTATCTGAGTATAGGTGTGTACAGTTCCTGCAGAGGCCTGAAGAGGGCAGGGCAATGGATCTGCTGGAGTTACCTAGCAGTTGTGAGCTGCCTGATGTGGGTGCTGGGAATAGAACTTTGGCCCTCTACAATAGTTGTATGTGCTCTTGACTGCTGAGCCATCTCTCCAGCTCTCTCTCCATTGTCTATTGCATTGTTTTACTCTTGTGGAGCTCAAGGAATACTTAAGTCTTTGTAGATCTGCTGCAGATGTACTCCTCCACTGTGGGGACTGCTTTTTTTGGTCTTCTGAATAAATGTTCTTTTTTAAGAAGTAGAAGTTTGGGGGCTGGAGAGATGGATCAGTGGTTTACAGTGCTTGTTGCTCTTGCAGAGGACCCAGGTTTGGCTCCTGGCACCCACATGATGTCTCACAACCATCCATTAACTCTAGATCCAAAGGATCCAATGTCCTCTTCTGAGCTCTGAGGGCACCAAGCATGTATGCATGTGGTTACATACATACAGACATGCAAAATACTCATCAACATAAAATAAATATTTTTATACCATACTGATGTTTTGAAATTCATTTTTATTTTATGTATATGAGTGTTTTGCCTGCTTGTCTGTAAGTGCACCATGTGTATTTGGTGCCTGTGGAGGCCAGAAAAGAGTACTGGATCCCCTGGGACTGTAGTTATAGATAGTTGTGGGCCACCATGTGAGTGCTGGGAATCTAACTCAGGTCCTTTGGAAGAACAGCCAGTGTTCTTAACTGCTAAGCCGTCTCACCCACTAGCCAAAATAAAATAATCTTTTAAAAAAATTTCTTTTACGAAGTAGAAGTTCTTAATTTTAATGTAATTAATTAACCAGCTTTTTCATGTCGTATTTATTTCATGCTTAGTTTTGTAAAACATGCAAATATCTAAGGTAGGAATTACACTCTGGGAAATTAGGAAGTACAGATCTTGGAGATAATAGGACAAACAGCTAAATAAGCCATGTATTTCTTTGACCTAACATCATCAAGAGCAGGTTTTGCTTAGCAGTGGTTCTCAACCTTCCTAACGCTGTGACCCTTCAGTATGGTTCCTCGTGTTGTAGTGACGCCCCCCAACCATAAAATTGTTTTCATTGCTACTTCACAACTGCAATTTTGCTGCTGTGACGAATCCAGCATGTCATATCTGTGTTTTCCGATGGTCTTAGGCGACCTCTGTGAATCCATCCCCAGGTTGACAACCACTGGCTTAGGAGACCCTGTTCTCCTGCCTGCAGATTCTGCAGCTGACCGGTGTGGGGAAGGAGCTGTGTGGGGCCTGATGTTTTGCATTTGAAAGGACTGACACGTGTCTTACATTACAGGTTACTCAGCGGTCGTTATGACCTCCCGGTTACGCGCGTTGGGTGGAAGAATTAATAATATACGAACCTCCGAATTACCCAAAGAGAAAACCCGATCCGAGGTCATTTGCAGCATACGGTTTTTAGATGGCTTGGTACAGACCTTTAAAGTTAATGTAAGTTCTCCACTTTCTTTTCTTTTCTTTTTTGTGTAAATCCTCTTAAATAGTTTTAAGAAAAAAAGATTGACCGAAAATTGCTTGAGATTTCAGATCTCATATGGTGAGACTGGGCTGGGCATAGCTTGCAACCTTTGCCCTGTCTCACCTTTTCCATTCTTCTGAGGGATGTGAATCTCCTGGTGTCTTCCTCCAATGTTGATGTGCCTGATGTCCCCACCCACTCCCCTCCCTACCCCCAGGCAGAGCTGGTCCTTGGATGACTGTGCTCTCTGTACGTGATACATAGAGCCCACGTGACTCTACGATTTTAAAAATAGTAAAAATGACTAGGTTATAAGTCTCCTACTAAAGTGTGACCCCCTTGAGGACAGGACGGGTGTCCTGGCACAAGACTGGGCACGCAGCTGTGCTCTGTGAGATGGTCAGCCTCACAGATGGCAGGACTCCTAAAGGTCCTGGCTCCTGCTCAGAGCCCTTGATCTCAGGTTTTCATGTAAGCAGCTGTGAGAGGCAAGAGCAGCAACTGTCGTCTCAGCTGGCTGCACACCCAGGCTCCACGCTACCTAGCCCAGGACTTCTCTGTGTCTCTCAGTCCTAATAGCATCAAGTTCAGCCCCCAGTCACCTGTGCCTCAGTTTTTATGGTGTGTGCAGAGAAAGAGAATGATGGTGGAGGAGACAGACTGGATATGATGGTAAATGCCTGTGATTCAGCGGACTCAGGAGGAGCAAAAGTTTGAGGCCAACCTGGGCTATGTGACACCCTGTCTTAAAACACACACACATAGTCGAGGGTGGGGTGGGGGACATTGGCCAGAAAAGGCCATAGCACTTAAACCTTATTGAAATCTGACAGACCCCTGCTGTAGCTGCTACTGTTCTACCACCCCACTTTCTTCTCCTTTGACAGCCTTGGCTGGCCTAAACTCACTAGGAAGACTAGGCTGGCCTAGAAATCTGAGGTCTGCCTGCCTCTGCCTAGGATCAAAGGCTTGCACCACTATTTTTGCGTTTTCTTACCCATTCACAAGATCTCTTTCTCTCCCTCCCTGCCCCTCTCTCTCTCTCTCTCTCTCTCTCTCTCTCTCTCTCTCTCTCTCTCTCTCTCTCGTATCAGTGACCTTGGTGCAGGCAGAAGGTAATTTTCAGTTCTTCCAAACCAAGCCAGGGCGGCTACCCCGTGTGTGGGTGTGAGAATGGTCCTCAGCAGCACACAGGACTCAGGTTCCAGCCAGCTCAGTGGCAGTGCTTAGCGGAGACGTGTTACCCTGCCTTCTTCAGTTCTTCAGCTGTCTCTAAGGCCATGCTTTGTCTTTCTGAGGATGGGATGTGTTGTTTATTGTACCAAGAGAGAGAAGAACAAGATAGCTCAGCCAGGAAGGGTGCTTGCCGCCGAGCCTGGACCCTCATGCTGGAAGGAAGGCCTGTGCATCTGGGATGACGTGAGCCCCAAGGGAGGAGAGCCAGAGAAGAGTGAGGTCAGAGGTACCACAGGGTTGGAGATGGGAGGCCAGCTGCAACCCGGGTGCCCTGGCTTCCACACTGGGTGAGGTAGAGAGCACTGGATAGAGACCTGACATGGCCTGACTTAAGGGTCCACAGCAGCCAGGGAGACTACAGCAGCGGTCACCAAGCCAGGTTCTGATGCTGAGCAGAGAGCAGTGTTTGGGCCTGGCCAGAGCATGGCATCTAGAGGATGGAGCCAATAGGACTTGCTGGCAGTGCCCCGATTGGTGTGCTGCTCTAGTTTCTCTCCTCTGTATTCCCCTTTCCCCATTTTCCCCCTGAGATGTGATCTCACCATATATCTATCCCCTGCTGGGCTGGGCCCAAACTCACAGAGATCCACTTGCCTCTACCTCTCAGGGGTAAAAGGGGTGTGCCTTTGGTCCTGTATTAATTCTTCTGGGAAGGAGGAGAATTGAGCAGAATTGATACCTGCATGTATGGATTCTGCAGCTCAGAGGTGAGAGACTCAATCCAGCAAGAACATAGGGCTTTGGTGTTGCACTTATGTGAGTCAGATGGTCAGGTAGGGTGATAAGGTGGGAATGCCAGGCATGGCACCTCCCAGTGCCTGGTTCCCAGTGGCAAGGCACGTGTCGAGGGCTACTTTGCAGAGTTGCATCAAAGTGAGTGTGGTATCATGTCTCTGCAGGTGTGCAGTGAATTACAGGTGCTAATGATATAATAAGTCAAAGTTACATAAATGATGTCCCCAAATGTATAAGGAATAATTACAGTAAAGTCAGAGGGTTAGCTCTGATACTCGAGGAGAATGGCTCTGGCCTGGGAGATGACTGGGGTTGAGGGGGCAAAGTGCTTGTTTGCAAGCATGAGGACTCCAGATCGCAAGCAAACCCATAAAAACTGGGTGATGCTATATGTGGCTACAACCCTGCACTAGGGTTGGGTGTGGGAGATGGAGATGCCAGTACCCCTAGGGCTGACCAGCCAGTCTTGCTGAAACTGTAAAGTTAAGATTCAATGAGAAATTCTGCCCCCCAACCCCCCCCCCACACACACACACAGTATCTGGTAACTCAGGGGAACTGGTAAATTGGGGGAATGGGCAGACTGTATTGTTCTTACCCAAGGAGACTTTCTTCTGGTGGATGGTGGCAAGTTCTGGCGCCTTCAGGACATAGGTTATGCATTCTAGAAACAGACAAGTCTCATTCTCTCACAAAACAGACCAAATTCCATGAAGTCACCCCAAAGATGCTGCTGCAGGAATGTCCTCAGGTTACCTAACTCTGCTGGCCCTGGTCAACTGCGACCCAATTTCCACAGGTTACCTGCTCTCTCAGAAGCTCCCAGGAAGAGCCTCTTCTGTACCTGTCTATTTCTGACTTGCATTGTCCTGAGTTAAATGGTTGGGTTCAAAGCATTCCTGGGAGGTCAACCTCTTAAAATAGAATCTGAAATCTCCCAAATGCTCCATGCTGTTTTTGCGTGCATGTCTCACCCCGCCTCCCAAAGCCATCTTTTGTTTGTGCCGTCAGCTTCAAACTGGGTGGGCCCACTAGATAGATTGGGGGGAAGGTGACATTACACCCTGTCATCCCCCTGAACACAGAGGAAGGGGTTCCATATCCCTGTCCCCAGGAGGCCCCCACTCTTCATGCTGCCCTCTAAAGACTCTCTCCACTGTGTCTGACTGGTTCAAAGCACTTGACAGCGTTTGACACTCTGTGTTAGTCACCACCTCTACAGCCGAGAAGGAGAGAGATGCTTACTGTGGCTCTGTCCCAGTGCCCACATCAGGCTGCCCCATAAACACTGGAGCAGGCCGCTGAGTCCCACTCTGGAGTGAAGTGTGGCCGAATGTCCCCACCGGCTTCTCACTTCGGATGACCGGCAAGCAGTAGGGCAGATAATCCCACAGGGGGACCCAGGCCAAGTCACTTTGAGGGTATTTTGGATGGCATTCGAGTATTTTTAGCTGTTAGTGGAGAGTTTTCCTCCCTGCACACTCTCTGGGTTCCTCCAGGAGAAGGAGATACAGCTGGAGCCCAAGCAGCCAACAGGAGCTGACCTGGGATTAGCATTTGCTGTGTGTAATCCGCAGCGGGTCATGGCGTGTTTGCTGTGTAATGTGTGAGTTTTCCAACTTAGAAGTCACTGGAGAACCCCAGCTAAGGGATGGAAGCAGCTTAGAAAGCTCAGTTAAGCTCACAGGGGTGTGTGGGGGTGTGTGCACGTGCACGTTCACATGCATGTGTACATACATGGCATGTGGAGGCCAGAAGACAGCCTTCGATGTTATTTCTCAGAAGCCATCACAGTCATTCATTAACCTGGAGCTTGATAAATTGGCCAGGTTGGCTGACAAGTGAAGCCAGAGGCTAATGTAACATGTCTTCTTTTGTTGTTCTCCACCTTATTTTATTTTCTTAAACATTTTGCCTATCTTTCTCTCTACTTATTTGAGACAGATTCTCACTATATAGACAAGGCTGGTTTCAAATTCAAAGAGATCTGTCTGCCCCTGCCTTCTGAGCACAGGCATTCATTAAAAATGTGTGCCCACTAAGATTTATTTTTATTTATGTGTCTCTATGGTAGTAGTGCACATGCAATCAGAGGCCAGAAGAGGGTGTTAGGTCCCCTGTAGCTGGTATTGTAGGTGATTTGAGTGTCTCAGCTTCATGCTAGGAATGGAACTTCAGTATTCGGCAAGTGCAGAAAGTATTTAACCACGCCAGCTCCTGCCTTAATTTTTTGAGACATGATCTCACTGAACCTGGAACATTCATATTTGGCTAAATTGCTTGGCCAGCAAGCTCTAAGGATGTGTCTTCCCCCACTCATGGATTGTGGGGAGATGAGTTCAGGTCCTCACTCTTGCAAGGCAAGTAAGTACTCTGTTAACTTACTTTTCTCCCTGGTCTTTTCAACTCAAAGTGTCTCAAATCATTTATATAGTTTGTCTTGAACCTACTTTGTAACCCTCTTGTAGCCTTGTAACTTGGAATTTATTAATGCTTTTGTTACTCTGGGAAATATATATTCATAAACTCTGAAGATTTTAGTTTCCCTCTGCATATATAGAAAAGCAAAGCAGTTTCCCTCGCATATAGAAAAGCAAAGCAAAACAAACAAAAAAAGTTGTTGCTTCTAGTTCTTGGTTTAACACTTTCTCCACTTGATGTTTTCTGATCTAGAAACAAGATTTGGGCCAGTCGCTTTTGGACTTGGCATATGGCCACCTGGGTGTGACAGAGAAGGAGTACTTTGGCTTGCAACATGGCGATGACCCAGTGGACTCCCCTGTAAGTGTTAACCCATAAGAAGTGCTGCTTGCCTGCTTGGGTTGGTCTCATTGCTTATGTTTTCTCACTCAACAGAGATGGCTTGAGGCGAGCAAACCCCTCAGGAAGCAGCTGAAAGGTAGGTATGACCTCACTTGGGTTGGTCATTGGGTGTGTGGCCATCTATCTTCTCCTCGGAGAGTTATGGGGGCCAGGGAGAGATGCTCCAGCTGTGCTTCAGAGCAGCCTTAAGGATCCCAGCTGTGCAGAAGGGTGAGGGGAGAGGAGCCTGCTCACAACAAGGGAGCTCTCGCTTATTTTTATAAGGGAGGAAGTGAAGGAAGGATGGGTCTTCTCAGCCCAGTATAAGAAAGAGAGATGTAAAAGGGCTGGGTGATGTCTCAGTCGGTAAACATGCTGGCTGTACAAGCTTAAGCACCTGAGCTGGGATCCCAAGCACCAACGTTAAAAGCTGGTACTGCGGTGCCTGCCCAGTGCTGAGAGGCTGAGACAGGGTTCAGTAAGAGACCCTGTCTCAAAAAACTAGATGGAGAGCAGTGGAGGAAGATACCTGAATGTCAGCCTGTGGTTTCCACGTGCACATGCATGTATGCTCACATGTGTGCACACATGCATGTACACGCACGCACACACACACACAAGTGCATACACACCAAGGGAGACAGATATAAACCCTCATACTTTCCAAAAGCACAGATGCTGGCTCGTCCACTCTGAGTGGGCTCCTGTGTTACCCTCAGCTCCCAGTGAGACAGTGACTCTGGTCATGCTCAGCCTACCTTCTGGCCACTCCTTCTCAGCCTTGCTTCCCTCATGGCTCTCATTGGCCCAGGTGGGTACCTGTTGTCCCAGCCTAACTTGACAAGTCTACAGGACTTCTTTGAACTGCCCTTCAGTCTCCTCCCTCTGTAAAGAATGCTTTTCCTCTTAACCCAGAGTCCATCCATCTCCTGCCATTCATTCCTCAGGGTTCCACAGATATCTCCTGCTATCTGAAAGGAAGCACTAATTCTCACCTTCCTTCTCCTTTCTTTGACCACTCTTCCGGGTACCTCACAGTGAGTGTTTTAAGTGCCTTTCATTCTCGCTGCATTCTTCTCTGTCCCCTTCATGATTGATGATGCACCAGAGATGGCCAATCACATGAGGCCTAGGGAGCTGTTATCTGTCCTTCTCCTTCTGACTCATTCTTGCAGCAAGCACTGTACTAAGCCTGGGAAATGCAGACCAAACTAGATTCAACCCCTGCTCTCACAGTCAAGTGTAGAAGTTGAAAAGAGGAGTTCTGTGATAGGACTATCATCTCTACTTACGCATGCGCGCGCCAGCGCTCACACACACACACACACACACACACACACACATATGCATATATGTGCTCCGAGTCCACAGAAGAACCAAGAAAGACAAACAGACCACGCCTGAAACACCAAAGTAACAAATGGTGGAAGGGGAAGACTAGAAAACTTCGCCGCGGAGCTAGCGCCACCCACTGGTAGCTAGATGTGTATACAAAGGCACACCTACCTACCATTGATGACAGTTTTAGCACCCACCAGCCTAGAGGTGACAAAGGAACTAAGAGATGATAGAGTGGAGCCAGGATGAACCAAGGCAGAAGACGAGATGAGCAGTAGGATTAGCCAGCTAGCCAGACCACAGAAGGACTTGGATTTCAGAGAGCATGGACATGCTGTATGAGCCTGTAGACAGGACCTGGGCATATTTACCAAGTTGCAGAGACAGGGTGAACTCAGCGAGGTCGGTTCTTCCCATGTCTTGGCAACAGTCGGATCTTCAATCAGACATGTGGCTAGTTTTATCCCACAAGCAAAGCGGCCTTTGGTGTTGATGTCTAAGTCACATCTGAGTGGCGTAGCCCTCTGGATCATAGTGACAGTTGTGATGGCCATTGAAATTGCAAAAATGTTTTCCAGTTTAAAAAAAAAAAATCAAGTCAAAAAATTGAGTCCAGTTTAAAAAAAAAACAAAAAACAAAAAAACATCAAGTCAAAAAATTGAGTCAGTGTTACAGAATGTTCTGGTCTTGTCACTGGTGCCTAGTCAGGAGAGCCGTTTATACCCACTGAGCCCTCAGGTAGCCATGGTGGTGTTTAAGTTCTAGAGGCTACAGGAAATGTTGCAAAAGCATGAGTCACTATGTAAATGCAAGTGGCTTGAGTTATTTGTGAGTTTTATGGATTGATGCTGGTTTTGAGACTTTTACACATGCTTAATACAGATGTCACTGTTTGCACAGGGCCCTAAGGCAGATGTACAACCGGAAGTAGGTGACACCACAATGGAACAGATGCTAAATAAGTACTTTTGGTGTGTGTGGATGCTTCTGAACCGTTAGCTTACACACTGTAGGTCTGAACTTGGGGCTTTTATAATGGAAAACATTGCGATTCAGTGAGAAGTACTCCTTTTATGGGAGAGTAGCATTGTTCGTTGACTTTTAAAGGGAAAACCTAACTTGTTTTTGAAAAATATTATAGGAGGTCTCCCCTGTACCCTGCATTTTCGAGTAAGATATTTTATACCTGATCCCAACACACTGCAGCAGGAACAAACCAGGTAATAACCTTTTTTGAAGTTCTCTGTCTAGTATATATGAATCTGTAGCCACCAAAAATGTGCTCTTTGTTTTCTAGCTATGGACACTTAATTTGATTTTGGTATGACCTCCCCAACAATCATGATCCAAGAAAAAAGTTGGGGTTGCATAGACTGAAATTTTAATCGGCAGTTTTGTTTTCAGTTTGTGGCCTGTGTCTCAAAGCCCCAAACTGGTGTGATTTCCTACACATGGGCACCCTATCTCTCTCCTCTTCTATCTGGTTAAGCATTGTGACTATTAAGGGTGCTGAGTCAGTCCTGCCTGGAATAGAGTGGTCACCCATGGGGTACATAATCTGGACTATGAGGGGCTGGAATGAAGTCCTTTGAGGATGACAAGGCTTAGCTGTAACTGGAACATTCCATCAGGTTCCCCCTTTGCAGGGGTGAGGAAGGAGAGTGGGCTCTGGCTGGATCCAACTTGTCTTCTGGGTGAATAAGCAGGTGCAAGAAGTTTGGGAGGCAGATGGGGGGCAATGATAGGAGCTATTTACCCCAAGGGGCTTGAAGGCTGTGATGGCTGTGGTTGGCCCTGACAAGTGGGTTTTCTGTGTGGGAAAACAGGGACGTGCAGGATGGGAAGGATGCAGTAAGAGAGCCATTGTTGCCTTGGGCTAGAAGACTGTGCCAGCCATTTCCTCTGCCTTATGACCACTCTGAGCCCTTTCGTAATGTGTCCCTTTGTTGTTCTTAAGGAGGGAAACTGTCTTCCTGGGAAGAAGAGGCTGTTCTGGATTATTGAATCTCATTTTATGGCGGAAAAATCCCACCAAAGAGATGCCATTAACTCAGACATAGACTGCTCTCTCATTTTTTCTTTCTTCTTTTTAATGGCAATTACATGATCATATTTTAGCTTTTAATATGTTTAAACACCAGTTGTTCGTTTATTACTGTTTTTCCTTCTGTGTATGAGCTTCTTTTCCTCCACAGAGTCAGGCCTTGGGGCTGGACTGTGTTTATCATTATGGGTAGCTCCTTGGGAGCCATGAAGTGCATGCTGCTTTGAATCATTTTCGTATACTACCCCCACCCCTCCACACCACCACCCCTACCACACCCACCACAACTACACCTACACCACCACCATCACACCATCCCCTATTCTCCCACCCCTTTATCCCCACCACCACCACCACCATCACAATATAACTCTTTACTCTGGTGAACTAGGGACATTGGTGGGATACTCAACCCAGCATACCATGTCATTGTTTTTTTTTTTTTTTTTTTTTTTTTCTGAAGTTGAGGTCTGTTCCACTTAAAATTCTGTTACTGTGATAAAATACCCTAACCAAAAGCAACATAGGGGAGGAAGGGGTTTGTTTCAACTCACAGTTCCAGGTTAAAGTCCATCACTGCAAGCAAGGGAAGGGAGAAATGAGATAGCCAGTCTTATCACATCTATAGTCAAGAGCATGCATGCTCCATTGCTTGTTCACCTCAGTTTCTTCATTCCTGCACAGTTAAGGGATCCCTTCCTAGGGAATAGTGCTGCCCACAGTGGTCTGCATCTTCCCATATTAATTAACCTATTAGGGCTGTCCCCATGACATGCCTACAGGCCAACTGTGTAGACAGTACCTCATCAAGACTCTTCCCAGGTGATTGTAGTTTGTGTCAGATTGACAGCCATCATAGGATCTGGAAGGAATATACTCTCAGAGGAGATCAAATGTTAGACATGCCAAGTCACTCCCATTGACAGTGTTCCTTTATTCTCATGGGCACTTTCTTCCATGTCTGTGTATTGTGAGCCTCCACAACTGCTGGTACTGATAAATTTAGATCATTCTAAGCAGTGTTCCACTTACTGACAGTCTCTGATTACAATTTGAACTCCTTGGGGAAAATGATAAAACCTCCTAAGTTTGGGGGTGCGTTCTGTGATTCTTGTTTCTTTACACGTGATTCTGTGGGGTTGACTCGGATTTGCTCTGCAAAGGGCCAGGTAGCATTTGGTGAAGGATCCATGGAATGTTCAAGGTCTCGTTTATGGCCATCAGTGAAAGCCTAGGTTTTATCAGTGGATCAACTATAGCTCTGCCCCTTTCTTCTTTCTCCCAGCATCCTTCCAGGAAGAGAGAACACTTAATTCTGGTTGAATGTTAGCTTGGATAAACATAGAAACCAACTAGAAAGAACTGGTTATGTTCTCCTAGGTGGAAAAGATAATCCCACTACTGAGTGGGTGTGAATTAGCATAAGTATTTTGTTACTTTCCTTATTGATGTGAGGAAATCCTTAAGAAGAAGAATAAGAAGTTACTTAAGGGAAGAGGATTTGACTTGGCTCACAGTTCTAGAGGCTCCAGTCGGTCATGGCAGACGTCCTGGCGGTGGGAGTGAGAGAGGCAGCCAATCACATTGTGCCCTCAGTCAGGAAGCACAGGTGAATACTAGTGTTGGGCTTGCTTCCTCCTCCTGTTCGGTCCGTGAATTATTCATCAGATTATTCACCAGTTATTCATCACCAGATTCAGGGTGGGTCTTCCATCTTCAGTTAAACCTTCTGGAAACATCATTAGATACACTCAGAGGTGTGTTTCCATGGTGATCCTAAACCCTGTCAAGTTGACAGAAAGGTTAACCACTCGTGTGCCCATGTGACTAATACCATCTATCAGTGCCCTAGGTTCAACATAACAGAGTGTTGATAATAGATCCTAAGCTTGGCGGTGACTTATACAAAGTCATATTGTTCTCATAGCATGTGTGTCCAGGCTAAAGGGAAGCAAAGCTAATCCATAAAACGCGCCTGAGTACCAGTTTTCCCAGACTGGCAATTCTTACTGTAGAGAATTCATTGAGATGTATAGCCTTCAGGTCTGCTTAATTTTGTAGTGTGATTTTCTTTTATTCTTTTTCTTTTTCTTCATTTGTGAGTTCTTTACCATGAAGTTTTAGTAAGTTAAAGAGTGGAGATGGTGTTACAGAGTCACAGAGTCACTGAGCAGCTGAAATGAGGAAGAAAGCCTCAGAGCACCAGGCATCCAGCCCCAGGCTGCACATAGGAGGTTGCAATATTGTCTGAAGCATCCAGGTCTCAAAACAGCTAGCTCCCTGACCTTTCTCAACCCCAAGGAATATGAGACTGGTTTGTTTAAATTGCCAGAGTGATCTCTCCTGTCCCCAGAACTTCTGCGCTTGTCTGTATTAGCTTTCAAGAGGTTTCCCTTTTGTCATCTTTGGCCAGACCCTGGAATGTCAATCCCGCTTGAATCTGGGTTTTAAAAAAGAGTGGGGATAGGAGCCAAGCGTCACATGTATGCCGCGTCCCTAAATATAAATGCCTCCACAGTGCTTCCTGGCCTTGCCAGGCCTGTGGGCGTTGGCCTCCTTTTCCCCTATCTGCCCCAGGGCAAAGAGGCGGCCTGCAGGGCTAAGGGGCCTGGAACAGTTTGCCCCTAGGACAGCTCTGGGCTTTCAAAGCTGATTCTGTTGCATTCAGGTTCTGGCAACTAGGCTATCAATACTTTGCTCTAGGACCCATAGCTTTTAGGTTACAGGACAAAGCCCAGCTGGAGTTTGCACCCCAGCTAAGGCATGATCTCCACCTCCTCTTAGTTTCACACAGTGGAACAGGGGCAGGGGAGGGGGTGTATACATGCCCATTCAGTGTTTAGAGCAGTGCCTGTGTGTGTGGGCAGCTTGTACAGAATGCTATGGGTCCCCGTGCCTAATTAAGAAAGCCCATGCAGCCGGTGGGGCACCCTTGACTGCTACCCCATCCATCCCCACAGCCCTCCCTAGCACAGGGCGCCTAGGCAGTTTACAAATAGATAAAATGGTATTTGCATACATATATATCCCAGTTTTCAAATGTTCATTTTTCTTGTTTATTATTTGATTATTGCATTCTGAGCATTTGTTAACAAACACCGTTGTTTCCTAGGCATTTGTATTTCTTACAACTGAAGATGGATGTTTGCGAAGGAAGGTAATGAGACTTTCATATTCTTCTTTTCCTGTCAGACTAGCCAGATTCCTGGTTTTAATCTAATGAGCATTCATTCCTGGCAACAGTACTCAATTTAAACAAAGCCTGTACGTTTTCAACTCCGTCTCGGTTTACAGAGACTAACAATTGAGAAATTTTGTTCCATACTGTGATTTTATTACAAAAGATACAGTGATTTTCCCCCCACCCCCACCCCCGGTAAAGACTTGGGGAATTTTAAGAGTTCAGGAAAGACCCTGGATGTAAAATGGGCCTCAGGTCAGGTAGCAAATGGGTATGACTTAGAGCCGCTTCCGAGCCGGTGGTGCTTGTGGGTGACTTATCTTCTCTCTGGAAGGGACTATGTTCAGATGCGAGCATCTGCTTGTGAGTCAGTGTTCTGGGTGTATCCAGACCTTCTCAGCGCTTGGACGGGAGCTGAGAGTGGCTAGAAAGGGAATCAAAATTCCACAGAACCCCCATCTTCCAAGTCCTTGATATTTTTTAAAAACATTTTTGCTGATTATTTTTAGAGACAGGATTAATGAGCATGAGTGTATTCGTGTGTGTATGTGTGTGTGTGTGTGTGTGTTTGTGTGTGTGTGTGTGTGTGTGCATATGCCTGTGTGTGCATGTGTGCGCCTACCTGCTAAGCCCTCTCACCTGCCGGTGGCCCCTTAGCATTTTCTTGTCTTCTGAAAAAAATCCACAGCAGGGAAGGAGCCCCCTCTAATTCCATTTTCCTCACCCCCCACTTCTTCCTGGGCCTTCACTTCCACTGCAGAGGGTCGCCAGAGGCCACCAGCCTGCTGCACCACAAGGAGGCTGGCAGTTAGTGTGACTGGTGACATGAGACAGGAGTCCATGAAGCAAGTGAGACCATTATGGGCAGTGGGGATCACAGTTGGCCTAGAATTTCAGGAGCTGTGGCCTAGAAAAGTCTCTGTGGGTTACTGGGAGTAAGCCAAAGTTAGAGTTGGTGGAGAAAATAAATATGGGATTTCCCTGGACAGCCAGGAGGCCCTCCCATCCCCATTCCAGCTGGAGGCCATATGTGGTTGACTTGGAGGCAAACAAGGAGGGCTTTGCATACTCAGTGGGGGCTTCTCTCTCTCTCTCTCTCTCTCTCTCTCTCTCTCTCTCTCTCTCTCATCCACCAGACAGAAGAAAGCAGCTGCAGGGTCTTAAAGCAGAGGACAGGCTATAGTAAGAGACAAATCTGCAGACATGGTGTCTGTGTGCACGAGGACGGACTGAAAGAGACCGGGGCTTCCCTCTGCTGGACGGGAGCCTCCTTGAGGGGCTAGCAGAGCTGTTGGCTATGTAGTGATCACAGGCTACCAGAGCTTCGTGAATTCTATGTATCTTTTCCCCAAAGTACATCCCTTCTCCAGCACAAACTGTAGACCAGTGCTGGGGACTCCTCTTTGGCACTGCAAGGCAGCCTCAGAAGAACTCCATGTTGAAATGCCCCACTCCCTCTTGAGCTGTTCTTGACATAGAAACCTGTTCAATGGCACCCTTACGTGCCATTGCTTTGCTTTTCCATAAATACCTGTTTTATGAGGCAGGTTCCAGCCTATGCTGGTCACCAGGCCAGGACCTCCCCTTTAATCTTCCTGTCCTCCAAACTCTAGGACTACATTGTCCTCTTCTCTGCAGAGATGGGTCCTCCAGGATAGTCCCTTCACTTGACACATGGAGGTCTGAACCACAGAGGAAAAGAAATCTGTATAGGAGCATATGGAATGCTGAGAGGAGCATACAGGCTGTCATTGTTTTTGACTATATATTTGAACACCAACCATTCTTGGGAATTTTTTCCCCCTTCAGTTTCCATAGGATCCTTCTATCTAGTCTGGGCTTCCATAGCTTGTTTCTTGGCTGTCCCACAAATCCATTCAGCTGTCCATCTTCTAGCAAAGACACAAGATACTAACTAGAGGTTAAGTGAAGCTCACCTTAGTAGGAGAGTGACAGCTTGTGCTCATCACATATCTAATGAGCAACCCTAGGATAGATACATCCATAGACTCAGAGAGACACACTTTTCTGTAGGGACGCACAGAGTTACTCAGTGGGATCAGGGGCCCTTCAGATAGGGGGTGCTACTACCTTCATAAGAACCTTCCGAACCAGCAGGAGTTCCGGACAGAAAGGGAAACTGCTGGAGGCCAACCAGATTAGACAGGCAAGTGATGACTCACATGTGGGAACTTCATAGGCTGCCATGGAAACTACATGTTCTCTCAGCTTGCCACAGGGCTGGAAGATTGCTTTTAAAATCTCATTGTCTCCCAGTGTTGCTGGTAAGGACGGCTCCCTTTCCCAGTTGCTGCCCCTAGCTTTCCCCAGCCCATTCTTCCACTCAGCAGTGGCCCTTGCTCCAGGTTTGGTGGCAGAGCTCTTGAGCAGACCATAGAGTCAGATTTGAATGGAGGGAAAAAAAAAAAAAAGAAGAAGAAGAAGAAGAAGAAAGAAAGTAATGTCACTGAGAACAGGCATTTGGGAGGACAGTGAGGTTAGCTGGAAATAAGAACAAATCCAGGCTAAGCCTAGATTCCTAGTGGGTGGCGGATGACAGGGAAGCAGGCAGATGGTTGAATCCTATAAACCTCAGTGAGGTCAGGAGGTTAAAGAATAGTAATTAGTGAATTAAGTAATTTAATTACAGAATTATAAATGTTAAACTGTAGAATACCTTTTTTTTCCTTCCTTTTATTTTTCCATCTAGAAGGTGTCACCATTCCAGGAAGGAGGTGCCCAAGAGTCCTAAAGGAAGTAGTCAGAGCCCAAGTCTCAGGTCTTTATTAGAAAGATTGGAAGGCCGCTCACATCTCGGATTCCATCTTCTCACTTTCCGTCTTGCAATATGAGCATGCCATCCAACCCAAGATCACCAGCTTCCTGGTCTTTGTCATAGTTATAATTTTAAACCAAAAATTATGTTTTTGCTTTTTTTTTTTTTTAATCTTCAGAAAACACTTTAATGTATTCCCTGTGCTATTTGAGATCGATTGGTATTGTAGTTGCCTTTAAGATTCATGTTGCTCATTAACAGTTAATGGAGAAGAGAATGCTATGGGCTGTCTGTGATTTATGAGTGTCCATGGTTCTTCTGACTTAACTCATCCTCATTTCTCCTGACAGGTTAACGTGCCCTCTCAACTCAGCGGTGGTCCTAGCCTCCTATGCTGTGCAGTGTAAGTCCTGAGATTGACTAGGTAGTGGCCAGCTTGTTCCAGTTAGCCACTGAGAGAGCCCCCGGCTGCTCTCTTTGAGGGAGTCTCTTCCCCAGGATTCCTAGAACGGAACCTTGTGCTGTCCCGATAGTAAAACTTTTAACCTGAGCCATACTCTCCTTTTACTTGGGGATATCAGATGGACAGTGATGCTGGGGGAAGGCGTGGTGTGGCTTTCCCCCCAACCCCCCCAGGGAGCTATGAAACAGCAGACAGCTACACCCAGCTTTTTCCAGAGTCTCTGCCCAGGTATTTGGATCTGGTCTCCATACAAACCCCTACGGAACAATATTTATATCCCTTGCCTCCTCAGAACATGGAAACTGAGACCCAACTAGTTTAAGGAATTTGCTGGAAGGCACCACTGCTGCTTGCCTGATGCCCATTTAAAATGATACTGAGATCTTATGAATCTATATTCAGAGCTTCCGTGTAGCTATGGTCAATGACCATTCAGAAGCAAAATCACAAGTTCAAAGTCATCCTTGGCTTCATGGTGAGTTCAAGGCCAGCCTGGACAACAGGAGGCCCTCCTTTAAAAAAAATATGAGGAAAATAATTTAAATGTTTTATTTAACCCATTTAAATATTATTTTAATATACAGTCAGTATTAAAAAATTAATGAGATATTTTTATGGGTTTTTTCTTTCCTTTTTCTTTTTAATTAAATATTTGAAATCCCATCTAGGTTTTGCAATTTCTATACTTTCCAATTGAACTAGCCACACATAATTATGGGTACCACTGTGGATAGAAAGTCCAGATAGAGTTTTCCACCAAGGCTGGTTTAAACTACAGAAGAAATCTCTTCATTCTGTCAGCAAAACATAATTAATCATATTCAGTGTCAGATCCCATAAAAGGTGAAATACACTTTGCCAGTCATTGGGTGCATGGTGCCAGCACAGACACCATGTTACTTGCATTAAATTGTGTAGTAGCATAGGACTGAAGTGTCTGTCCCCTCTGCCTTTCCAGAAGTCTCAACCAACAGGTCAGGTGGTTAAGAAAGCAAGATGATGATGTCTCAGAGCAGGTGCCGACCAAATTACCCATCTTACTGTGGCCTCAGAAATATAATGGCAAAAAAAGAAAGAAAAAAGGGCTGCTGAGGAGACCCCAGATGCATCTCCTCCCTTAGCAAAAAGGACAGACACAGGAGAGGTGAAGGACAAGGCTGGGGAAGCTGCGTGGAACCAGAGAATGGGAGAAAGAGGATATCAGGGTTGACCCCCGTGATGTTGAGCATAAGGCTAGGCTCCTAACTGGAAAGATGCCCAGCATCAGCTCCATCTCTCCTGCCTCCTCTTCTCAGGATGGGAAATTCAGAAGAGGTTGCTCTCTTCTTATGTTACCAGCTTGCAGCATCCACATGTCCCCATGGCACAGTGTGTGACTTCTCCTGGGAAGACACAACCTACAGATAGGACACCAACAACAGACCAAAGAAACTATTCTGTCCAAGTCCAGCTTCATGAGCCACTGGGTTTATACTTTGAAGGAGCACGACTGACTTTAAAAATATCTGCTTCACCCAACATGGATGATGACTTCCCAAAAGCTGCATGAACGGAGCCACCCTGTCAGTTAACATCCACCTACTATGTACCAGGAAGAGCTGAGGCAGGATTGCATGGAGCAGGTAGTAGGCAGGAGAGAGTGAGTGGCTGGATTCTCTAGTGATGGTCTAATGACCCTCCTCCCACTCCCTCTGGGAGGGAAAGTTAATAGGCACCGTCTTGTGAGGCTCCAGGACAATAGTCATGCTGCTATGATTAAGATGGTGCCGACCCAGAGGGCAGTGTTCTATAACGTACGGCCAGAGTTGGCGTGTTCTCATCCATCTCTAGATTTGTGCCTCCCATTTCTTCGAGCTGATCAGTGACAGAGGCAGGGACTTTCTCACATTGAAGACAAGGTGGATGCTTACCACTAGAGCATCAGGGCTGGGAGGAAAGAACTTGAGGAAGGCAACAATTGTATTTAGTTTACCTCACCCTACTCATTTGTCACTGTGTGATACTGCCTCAATGAACCTCCAGCTTCCCACCTGGGAATGGAGGTGACACTGGCACCTGTGCCAACTTGGCAATATGGCTGTCTCGCTAAGGTGACCTATAGTAAAAGATTCCTCATAGTTGAACCAACAGTGACTTAGGTAGGTAAGGATAGGGATAGAAGCCATGTTGCCTGGGTCTTGGCTTTTCTCTTATCTGCATGACCTGACCTTTCAGGCCTCATGTGTTGAGCAGGGCTAGAAATGTCTGTTCTACTTTGGAGGGTGGTAGGAAAGAGAGCACAAACCACTGAATGAAGAACTCTCTACATAGAGTTAACTCTTGGTGTCTTTTCCTGTCAGTCCATAAGGAAACTGTTATGGGCAATATGGCTCCTCACATAAAAATGCTTGCTGCCAAGCCTGATGGCCTGAGTTCAGTCAAGTTACTCACACTGGGAGGAAAATACTTACCCCTGAATGTTGTCATCTGACCTCCACACATACCTTAGAAAATAAAAATAAAAATTAACCCATGATAGACAATAAGCTATAATTAGAGAAAATTAAAGGCCTACATTAAAGACATCCTGTTCATGAGTCTGCCATCAGGCTTCCCACTGTGGAAGATTAATAGAATGGTAACTAAACAAAGTCATCAGAGGCCTGACAGTGTTGGTGCAGGCCTTTACCTTCAGGCAGAGGCAGGCAGATCTCTGAGTTCAAGGCCAACCTGGTCTAAAGAATGAATTCCCAGACAGCCAGGGCTACACAGAGAAACCCTGTCTCAAAAAACCAAAAAAACAAACAAACAAAAACAAAACATCATCAACAAAAAGATGCTTTGAATTAAATAACTAAAAAAAAAGCCATTAGAACTGAAAAGGTATAAGCTGGTTGACAGAAAACTTTGCATTACTGTCATACTGAAAGATCATGAGTTGTTAGACAGTTTGAAGTTTAAGCTCTTTATATTCCTATAGCCTTGATAAATAAATAAACACATATCTGCATACTCTACATACGTTTCTTTTTGGTTTTTGAGACAGGATTTCTCTGTGTAGCTTTAGTTGTCACTCTGTAGATCAGGCTGGCCTGGAACTCAAGAGATCTTCCTGCCTTTGCCTCCTGCATGCTGGGATTAAGAGAGTGTGCCACCACCACGTGGCATGCATACATTTCTTATCGAACTGATTCTTACATTTAAAAATTAGTGACTTAGAAGGTATACTAACTACCTTTTGTCTGATACATTTTGGCGGGTTATTACAAGATGAGTGCCTAATGGTTAAGTCCTGCCTGTGTGATCTGCTAGCGGAAGCACGTTTTCTTATTAGACTAAAAAGCAAAGTATTTGAGAGATAAAATACTTTTAGCACAATGGCCGAAGATTGCTGCTGGCCACAAGGGCTTTTGAGGCACAAGAAAATGTTTGAGAAGAATGTAGATTCTTCATAATGTTTTCTGCCACAAGCAGGCACTGGATTAGCCTGGGATAAAGGGAGCTCGCTGCTCTCCCTAAGGGTTCTGCATCCTGCTGAGAATGCTGACTCTAAGGAAGACCCCCACCCCCAGCTTGGGGAAGGAAAGGGAGTCTAGAAAAGTTATCAGAGGAATGAGCCCCAAGAGGAGGCTCGAAGATCAAGTTAGAGTTGGAAGACTAGCTGGTGGAAGATTTCCCATTGGGCTAGATTGGTCACTTGAAACAGTACCTGGGATCTCAAGTTGGCAGTGTGTGTTCAGCTAATACATTAGACAGGCCCCTATAGTGGGGAGTCTAGGGATGTAGATCCTGCGTCTTGTTCGGTCTTCTTATCTGTATAATAGGAATAAAGGCATTATCTGTGGTTTTGGGGTGTGTGTTGAGCATTTGCTCAAGCCCTCCAGTGAGATGATGTCATTGACACCCTTTGCAGACCTCCTCCCACCTCCCCAGGCCTTTGCAAATGTGTCTGGTGTGGCTGTTGACCTTTCCCCCTAGTGGTTATCCCAGAGCTCTGAGCTGGTTATGTTAAGGTCAAAATGTTTGTCAAGTGACTTTGCTAAAGCAAGAAGCTTATAGCTTATTCCTGTCAAATGGAAGTTGGACCGGGACAACTAATTAACTGATTCAGAAGGCTCTCCATGAGCTAATGAATCCAACAGGGAAATTGAAGAGGTTTCAGCCTTTGGTCTTGGGAAAATCAGTCACAGCACTTGTTGGCCTTCCAGGACATCAAGAGAAGACTCAGCAGCTCACTGTCATCTAGGTCTTTACTCTGCTGAAAATAGCCTGTGTCGGGGGTGGGTCTCTCCCCCCCCCCCCGGTCTCAGTTCCTTTCTCTTTAATGTGAACTCCAATGAAGATATATTAATGCCATCTCACTGGGCACCCTATAAGAACATCCCAGTGGTAGTACCTCATAGCGCAACGGTAGCACATCTGACTCCGAGAAGATCCCAGTGTTATCTTTTTAAGCACGCTATTGTGAGCTTAACCACCCCCACCCCTGGTCTGCCACCCTTGCACTTAACATGGAACTTAGCCCTAAGCAGAGGTTCCGATTAGAAGCATGGAATTGGAAACTAATGAGACACTGGTACATATGGCTCAGAGCTTATCACAACTGTTCCCATGGGAGGCATTTCTCATGATGTTATCGATACTTGTTGATGCAGACCACACTGAACAAGCCAGGCTAATTATGATTTTCCCCCATTGTGTTTTAATAGCTCATTTTGGAGACTTTAATTCTTCCGTACATCACCCAGGCTATCTTGCCGACAGCCAGTTCATACCAGATCAAAATGATGACTTTTTAAGCAAAGTGGAGTCGCTCCATGAACAGCACAGGTGCGGGGACTGGGTGGGAGGGGAGTGGTGTTGGAACTCAGGCTGGGTATTTACAGATACTGTATCACTTTGTGTTTGTGCGCCCTTGGCTTCCTTTGTCGTTGTTTTTGTTGTTGTTGTTTGTTTTTGTACCTTTAAGGTGTGATGGTGGTAAATAAATATATATTTAACATCACTTGCATTCTTGGGAAACATAAAAATGCAATAGGAATTGAGGGTGATAGCTGGCACATTCTTCCTTCAAGATGTCATAGACATTGACTAATTCCTCCAGGAAATGCCCATTTTCAATCTGATTGATTGGCCTACAGGATGAATGAACCACGCATACCTTTTCGCCATTTGCCTCATTTAATAAGATAGGCCGTTCCCTCAGGTGTTGTTGAGTGGACAGACTGGTGGACTGGAGAGCTGATAGGGTGGATAGCCCTGGATTCAGACCACTTTTCCTCCACATAGGAAGACACTAGGGACAAGCTTTTCCCCTAACAAATACTTGCCATTTCCAATCTCCTTTTCCCACTCCTCACGTGACTGGAAGCTCCTGTGGCAGCTGCTGTGTTCCCATTAAATGAGGACCACGCTGACCCAGGCCAGCTCTCCAAACACATCTCATTTCTTGGGGAGGCCATAAAAACAAAGGGCAAGCTACCAGCGTACCTTCTTAGAGGGCACTGCCAACCCTCTCTCCCGGAATTGCTCCCGGGACAGAAGTCAGTGTCTTAAAATAGCACAGGGCCACTGGCGTTTGAAGCGTGAGGGCCACTGTTGAGAGAATAGACGGGCAAAAAGATGAAAGATTACCTATTAATTGAACAACGTGGCACAATGAAGGCAGGGTTTCTGCAAGGCGACAGATAGTTTTCACTGTCTGAAGACCTCTCTTGAGAGCACGTTAAGTGTCGAGTGTTTCTTAGTAAGGACCGAGGTGTCCAGAGGAGGTCAGGTTCATGGACAAGAAGAAAACCTTGCTTCAGTAAAATTGTTAGAGTGCTTAGGGGGCTAACCCAAGGCATTCAGTAACCTTTAGTAACTATTACGGAGGACTATTACGTTTTACAGATACTTTTAATTTTTAAACCCTCAAGTTAATGTTCTCCACCTACTGAGTGAGTCTTGCAATTTCTCTTTTCTTCTGCAGTGGGCTAAAGCAGTCAGAAGCGGAATCTTGCTATATCAACATAGCCCGGACCCTTGACTTCTACGGAGTGGAGCTTCACGGAGGCAGAGTATGTATCCTTTAGTTCATAAACTATTGCTTATTTTTTAATTGTGCAAGTTCACAAACTTCCTTGGGGAGTTGTTTCTCTCCCACTAGAACAAATAAGACCTTTTTAAAAGATGGTTGGGGGCTGGAGAGATGACTCTGTGTTTAAAAGCACTTGTTCTTGCAGAGGACCTGGGTTTGAGTCCCGGAACCCACATGGAGGCTCATAACCTCCGTGGGAATCAGGCACACACATGATCCACAGACATACATGCAGACAAAACACTCATGTGCACAAAATAATAAATAAAGCAAATCTGAGAGAGGGAGGGAAACAGGGAAGGGGGGAGAGAGAGAGAGAAAAAGAGAGAGACTTGGAAAGTGGATCTAGTACTTACTGAGTTTTACCGATCATCCAGTCAATTGCTTTTTTCACACTTCTGAAGGATCACAGCACAGGAAACTTACAAGCTTTTTTGTCTAAATGGGAAAAATCCATTTTTCTGTGTTATAAATTTTTTAGTAAGCATACAAAATGATGGCTTTAGGGGCTGAGGATGTCCTTTGGCTGGCAGAGTGTTTCTCTAGCATTTGTGAGGCCCTGGGTTCAATCCCAGTACCATGTAAACTGGGTGTGCTGGTGTACATCTGTGATCCCAGCATTCAGGAGGAAGAGACAAGAGGATCAAAGGTTCAAGGCCGTCCTCTGTTACATAGTGAGGTTGAGGCCAGCCTGGGCCCCCATCTCTAAAAGTGGGGAGGGTGTTAATGACATTTCCATGCATGCATGTTATTTGTATTTTGCTCATATTCAACCTATCCTCATGCTCCCTTGTCTCTCCTCACCCTGAACCCTTCTTCCCCACAAATGGCCCCCCCTTCTACATTCATGTGATTTTATAAATCTATTTTTAAGTGGCAGTTTAATGAGCCAAGGTTTCTACTGCATCTTAGGTATTACTCAGATTAGAGCTGGATAATCAAATACAGTAATGTGTGTATGTCTGCATATGATGTATGTAGTGTATATGTATGCATGCTTGTGTGTGTGCATATGTGTATGTATGTAGGTATAACTAGAAGCAACTTGCATGCGTGCCTGTGGAGACCAGAGGTTGATGTCCAGGGTCTTCTTAGTCACTCTCCACCTTCATCTCTTAAAACGGCGTCTATCATGAATCTGTATTCACTGTCTGGCTGCCCAGTGCACTCCGGTCATCCACATCTGTCTCACTTTCTCAGTGCTGGGATTACAGTCATGTATAGCCATGCCTAGGTGCTGGGGATGGGAACTCAGATCCTAAATGCTTGCACATCAGGCACTTTGCTGACTGAACCATCTCCCCAGCCCTATTCAAGCTTAATCGTTTTATAGGAGAAATTACAGTGGCAGGATTTCAAGACTGGTAAATCTTTTACATTGGGATTAGTTTAATAGAATTGGCTAATATGTGTCATTTACTGGGCAGATTTCTATGTTCGGATAGTTTCTTCCAGTAATTACTTACATCACCTGGGGGATTATCACGTTTCCCACTTTGTAAGTAAGAGACCGGTTCTGTGGTATTAGAGGACACTCAGTCAGGACATGACCTCAGCACTGGTTGTCTTTTGTTTGTTGGTTGGTTTTCATCGAGACAGGGTTTCTCTGTAGCTTTGGAGTCTGTCCAGGAACTAGCTCTGTAGACTAGGCTGGCCTCGAACTCAGAGATCCGCCTGCCTCTGCCTCCCGAGGGCTGGGATTAAAGGGTGCACAACCAACACCTGGGAGCACTGGTTGTCTTAAGACACTTTTTATTGCTGGGAAGAGACACCATAACCAGGACAACTTATTAAAGAAAACATTTGTTGGAGCTCATGGTTCCTGAGGGTTTGAGTCCAGTAGGGAGCATGGCAGCAGGCAAGCATGGCTCTGGAGCAGTAGCTGAGAGCTACATACAGGTCAGCAAGCATGAGGTGGAGAGTATGTGAGCGCTGTCTGGGAGTGACACAGGTCTTTTGAAATATTAAACTCTGCCTCCAGTGACACACCTCCTCCAACGAGGCCCCGACTCCTAATCCTTCCAAAACAGTTCTACCAACTGGGCACCAGGCATTTAAATATATAAATCTGGGTTGGGCATGGTGCTCTAGGACACAGAGGCAGGAAAATCTCTTTGAGTTCGAGGCCAACCTGTTCTAAATAGCAAGTTCCGGGACAGCCAGGACTACTTAGAGAGACCTTTTCTCAAAAAAAAAAAAAAAATCTCCCCCCAAAACATGTGGGGCTCATTCTCATTCAAACCATCACGCCAACATTTTAGCACTGACACACTAACATTGACTGCCTGTCATTAGCCCGCATCGTACCCACCATGAAACAATTATTGGGCGGAGAAGATAGCTCACTCCATCAAGTTCTTGTTGCAGAAGCACGAGGACCTGAGCTCAGAACACATGTGAAAAGCCAGGCTTGGTGATGTGTGCTTTGGAATCCCAGTGCTGGAGAGGCAGGGGTGGGAGGTGGGGACAGGAGGACCTCTGGGCCACCATGGCTAACTAGACTAGCTTCCTGATGAGGTCCAGGCCTATCTCCACCAAGGTCCATAGCTCCCAAGGAATGACAGACACTCAGGGTTGTCCTCTGGCCTCCATACTCTCAAATACACATGTGCACACATATATGCATTTGCACACACACACACACACACACACACCGTATTAATTAAGCACCAGCTGTGGGCTAGTCTTTGTTTCACGTGCTTTTATAGAAGACCTTTGGGTCTTGTTTCTACAGAAACCTTGCCAAATTGGTGTTCTTAGCATCTTCATTTACAGATGAGAGAGCTGTGCCTGTTTAAAAATCTACACATTGTGCTGAAGCTTACAGAAACACTTAAACTTCTTTGTCTCACTTCTGTCCCATGAGCTCTCCATTAGACAGGGTCTAACATGGTTCATAAATGGAGGGAATATATTGTCTCTTATACAATAACAGCTTTGGGATATAACTGGTAAGTTTTATTCCTTCTTGCAAGTATTTTTTTCCCCCTTGATAGAATGTTTTGGAGAACCTTATTCAGTGGCAGAATAGGAATATCTGTCTACTTCCAGAATTAATCTTCACCTTCTCTGCCCTTTGCTGTCAGTGAAGTAAACCCTTCAGGCTGGCAGGGTGTACACATCCCAATACTTGTGGGGTTGAGGCAAGAGGAATGTAACTTTGAGGTCAACCTGGGCTCCATAGTGAGGTCTAGGCCAGCCTGGTATACATATGGAAACCCAATCTGAAAAGGAGAAAAAAATTGCTTGGTGATTAAAAGTACTTGTTGCTCTTGTAGAGGACCAGGGCTTGATTCCCAGCCCCTACATGGTGGCTCACAGCCATCTGTAACTCAGTTCTAGGGGATCCAGTGGCCTTTTCTAACCTCTGAGGACACCAAGCATAAACAGGGTTCACTTATATGCATGCAGGCAAAACACTTACACATAAAACAAGTCTAAAAAGGAAGAAAGGAAGGAAGGAAAGAAGGAAGGAAGGAAGCAAGCAAGCAAGCAAGCAAAACACGAGACCAGTCTGCGTTTGGAGGCAAATGATCCGCTGACATCCCAACCTCAGTCCCCTAGTTACTGGAGGAGCTACCTTAACACCAGTCAGTACTGAGTGGATACTGCCATGTCTGAGCAGCTTTATGCCACATAGTTTTTAGTAGCGTTCTGTTGTCATTGGGCCCAGACTTCTCTTCAGGCGGCTCCTACCATCCAGTAGCTTCACAGTCTGGGCTCCTTCTCCGGCTTCACTATCTTCCCATGTGGTTTCCATGTTGTCAGGAGCCAGAGCATGGTGGCCAGAACTGGTCACATGACCCAGCCTTCTGCACAGGAAGCTGGGATGCAGGGCTGGTGTGGGAATTGAGTAAAGAGCTAACTGGGATTAACTGTAGTTAGCTGGGGTAAAGGTGCACCCTGAAAGGCAATGGAAATGCCTGATGAGATTCAGTCCTTGGCCCACCAAGCCATTCATAGCCATACATTCAGTCCCTCTCCCTATACTGTGGTGAGTGTCATGCTTGCCACAGCTTTGTTCTTCACCATGCCGTCCTGGCTTTGCTTACGTGTGTGATTTTAGCCTGGTGTCTAGTGTGAATGCTCAAGACTTCCTCTGTCCACTTTCTATCCCCGTTTTTGTTCCTTTGTTACTCATAAACGATGGCCCCATCCCAACAGAAAATGAGCATTTGTTATATCAGCCATGTGCCAATTCTCCACCTAGAGCATCATATACACACAGCCTTGTTTCTGGTTCTTATTTTTCTCTACTTTCAGCCTGATAGAAACCTTTGAGGTAGAACCCATAATTTTTATAATGCTAAAAGGAAAATGGAGGCTTTCTTGAACCTCAAATAACGTAGGCTACAAGTGGCAGGCCAAAAGTTCATGCTCACTTTTTACTGGCTCTGCCCCGTGTTTGTAGTTGTGGTAGCTGATTGGAAATAGAGATATGTGTGACTCAAGGAAGGAACTCTTGTCCCTTTGAATGTTACTTGCTTATTCTCAAGTGGATTTAAAACAGTTTTAGATGCCTGTGTTTTCCTTTCGTTTCTGTGTGATATATGGCTGTGCCAAACACACAAGCCCTTAGTGTAGTGACATTAGTGTAGACTCATAAGCAGCATTTATTTCTTGATTGGATTTAGAGTCATGTCTACATGTGTAATTTTTCTTTATTATTTCATAATAGCTAAAGCCTTTTCAGTAATTGAAGTTGAGATCTGTACGGAGTTGTACAGAGAAGAGGCCTATTTGAGTCTTATGTGGCTCCCAAATGCTGATGGTTGAAAATTCAAGAGTGTTTTTATATCTGATTCTGTGGAGTGAATATTCTTACCTGGTAACTTCCTAAACCAGGTATCATGACATGCTCTGCACGCGTGTGTGTACATGCATGCACGTGTGCGTGTGTGTGTTTTCACTTTAGAAAAACTGGGTGCCAAGTACTTGGCTCTTAAGTGGCTGCTAAGTGGGGCTTTTTTCCTGTGTTCTGTGGCACTTTCCTCTCTTGAGTGGATACATACTGCTATTTATAAAAGCGTGGGCACTTTAAAGTTAGAGGATGAGCATGGCTGTAACACATTGTGAACCTAGTCTCTTCCCTCCCACCCCCCAGGATCTGCACAATTTAGATCTAATGATCGGAATTGCTTCTGCGGGCATTGCAGTATACCGAAAATACATTTGCACAAGTTTCTACCCTTGGTAAGTGCAAACATTTCCAATTGTCTGAATCATGCTTTAAAAATACGCTGAGCAAAAGTAATGCTAGTTCCAATTTTAAGCTTTTATTTCTGAAGAAGGGCTAGAAGTCCCCCGCTGCTTTTAAGCTCTGAACTCTGAATTTGATCCAGATTTGGCACCTGGGAAAGTAAACTTTGGCTTTCATGAACTTTCCTCTGCCAGTCATCCTATGGTTAGGATAGTTGGTGGATAAATGGCACAGGTGGGTCTTGGAGTTATATGTGTAGAATCAGTCTTCGATTGTGGTAATCAAGAGCCTGTAAGTATCACAAGCCCTATATATGTGGGTGGGGTTTTCCCCTCTACCTATATATCTGTGGTAAAGTTTAATCTATGAATTAAGTCCACTAAGAGATTTCAAACGATACATAATAAAATCAAACAGTTGTTACCACAGTATACTGTAATGGAAAGTATGTGGGTATGGCGTCTCTCTTGAGAGAGTCAAGGCAGTAGAGTTTTTAAATTGTGGTGGACTCCAGGAGATTGAAACCATAGAGAAACAGAGCAGAGGTGGAGAAAGGAAGAATGGAATTGATCTTTCAAGATGACTTTGAAAGATCAGGCAAATGAGCTTCGGGGAAATAGGAGACCTCCCAAATAATGCATTTTTATGAATGAAAATATGAGCACGTGTAGGGCAGGGGTGGGGCAGATCGAGGAGAGCAAGTGCCGCAGACCATGGAAGTTATGAAAATACAAACACGCATAGAAAATACAAGCACACATGGAAACTTATTGAAAGGGGAAAGGAGATTTGGGCATCAGAGTTGTGGCACACCAGATATGACATTTAGGTTTATACCTGTTCCTCAGTTTGACTGTCTAGAACTTCACAAACAGGTGATAAAATCTTGAGCCCCTCACTGGCAGCAGAAAACCCCAGCCATGGCTTGGCTAGCTGGGTGTGGCCTGCAGAGTTCTCTGGCCTGCTCAGAACGAAGGGCCAGGCAGTAGGCACAGACCTGATTCTCTCTTAAGTGTTACCAGTCCCCCAATACCATAGGCCAGGAGCCACCCTGATTTAATCTGTGGCTGGATCGGTGAAGTTTCCATAAGCTGGTATGGACATCACCTTTAAAGGTAGAGTTGGATCCCATAAGCATTTGTTAGTTAGGAAGCTGAAAGCTTCATAAAGCAAGTTCACAAACAGAAGCCTTTGGGGCAGGAAGGACAGGGACTCTTGCCACCCCTCCAGTCCCTCAGACTCTCCTTCCGATAATCTGGGTTACTCTTCAGCTTCAGCCCCTGTTAAAGCCTGTCTCTGATGCCGCTGCTGTATTGGTTACTTTTTGTAACACTGCAACAAAACAACTAATAGAAGCAATTTAAGAGAAGCAAATTGGCTCACAGCTCTGAGAATCTGGTATGCCATGCAGGTAGAGTGTGAGCACTTGAGTGGCTCAGCAACTGGCAGTAAGAGTTTGCAACGTGGCCTTTTCACAGGCCTGATATTAGTAGATCAGGAAACAGCTCAGGCTGGAGCCTTCAGGGTGCCCTCCCGCTGATCCATAGCTAGGCCCCATTTCCCAAAGGTTCCAGAACTTTCCAAACAGCACCACAAACAGCTGGGGAACCAGTGTTCAAGCTTATAAACACTTCACACTCAGACTGTAACAAGTGCAAACCTCAGAGACCAGTAGGAAGGTCAGCACTGGAGAGTAAACTCAAGGTAATAATAGGTCACAGGGCAGGGTGCAGAAAGGCCCAGAGCCTGCAGGAGTGACTCTAAAGAGGGTAGGTAGGCTTTGGCCTCAGCGATATGTTCTAGAAAGAAGGTACAGAGTGAGTGTGTCTCCAGAAACAAGGGAGAACATAGTGACCAGCACAGGGTAGATGGTGGATTAGGCTAGAGCATGGTGTGCCATGGCCAGTCACTAGAGAGTGATCTGGGCACCGAGCAACTCACAGGACACTGGAGTGGAGACGTAATCCTCGATGTTCCAATGAGAACTAGATTATCTCAACTGCAGTGCTCACAGGGGTTTGGCTGTATGTATCTTTTGGTACCTGTTTCCTTTGTTAGGTCATGAATGTCCAGATTGCAGTACCCACTGTCTAGTTCTTTCTGTCCCTGAGACCTGGCACAGGGCTTAGTCCAGCTACACACTCGGTACATTCCATCTTTCCTTGTGACTGAGGGGCAGTAGGGAGCCCACTGTAGGGCCTTTGGCCTGGAAACCACATCTGTGTTCTTCACATTTGCTCTAGTGGAGGACACAGCCAATGAGAGACTTGTAAGCAGAGGCTTGAGGCAGAACAGTCTGAACCAGGGAGCCTAGCAGGGGACCCCCACATGAAGCCATTGGCACACAGGCTAAGAACTCTGTTAAGAATGAGTTTGTTCTTCTGACCCCTGTGAAATATGTGTGCCCTTCATCACAAGTTGTATGGAGGAGACCTGCCCACCTCAAAGTGTAACATGATCTGTGATGGGTGCCTCAGAACTGACCCTACGAGCCTTCTGGTCACTCCCAAAATTCACTTGTCAAATAAAAGCATCTGCCAGCAGATTACTTAAACTAGCTGTTCACTTTTAGTATATAATGTAAGTGTGCTCGAGTGTGTGTGTGTTGCTGATCTACTGGGGAAATGCCATATGAATAAATGTTCACTTTTCTTACTCAACCCCTCTGTTCTTGAATGCTCTTATCAAGTTCTTGATATGATCCTAGAGAGTAGCAGAGTTCCTTTCTTCCCCCAAATATTGTGTGGGTTATTGTAGCTTGTCATAGTGAATACAATCTATTTAAGAGGTGAACGTCTACTGAGCATGGTGGTGCACATTTGTAATCCCAACACTAGGGGATCAGAAAGGATAATCTCTGAGGTCACTGGCCCGGCAGCCTAGCCTCACGTAGTAGGTGAGCTCCAGGTCAAATGAAAGACACTGTCTTAAAGAATAAGGTGGACAGCACTTGAGGAAGGACACTCAGGGTAGACCTCTGGCTTCCACGTATGAACACACACACACACACACACACACACACACACACACACACACACGTGTGCACACGCACATGCACCCTGGTCTCATTCACCAGTTTTAATGAAAAGTACCAACACTGAGCACCTATGGTGCATTAAGAATCATGTAAGAACTTGGCTTGCTTACTGCATCTGTACTGTCATAGGACCATGGTGAGAAAGGCTGTGATGGGCTACCACTCAGCAGATGTTATAGGGCCCAAGATCATAGGCTCTGGAGGTTGAGCCCCAAGCTCAGAGCATGGCTCCCAGCAACGACATCTCTGCACCCCAACTTCCTCTTCTAGATAAATACTGTTTGGGACTGTTACAAGATACAATGGAGGCAGTGTTTATAAAGCCTGTGGCAGTGGCCTAGTAGATGAAAACACTTGGTGTACTTACTTGGCAGGGGAGATAAGGTGATCACAAAGGTGGTTTCCCCAGGGCAAGGTTTATCCATTGCACTCTGGATGTGCTGACCCTTGCGATTTCCCCAAATTTGGGAAGCTCGACTGAATAATTTGTGGTAGTGGACGGCTTCATTCGTGCTGTCCCCAGAAGAGAGAGGAAAATGAGAAAATACTTGGTGACTGGTAGCTTTCATTCCATATCATGCACATGGTAAAGAGGTTCTTTCGCACGTGACTGTTAAGTAACAGAGCTGGGGTACAACCCAGGTCTGTCCTCCCTCTGCTCCACACTGCCCTCAGCTGCCTTCCCCCATGTAGGCACCAGCTCCTGCAGGAGCTGCAGTGTCACAAAGAGACTTAGAGCAAAGAGTGCGCATGGCCCACGCTCCCAGTTATTTAAAAGCTACCTCACAGTCCAGAGGCCCCATGGAAATCCAGCTCGGTCAGCTCCTTGTATTCAGCCCAGGCACACTCCCAGCAGCCAGCAGTCATCGGATCATGAAATAGAGGACCATTGCCTCCAGAGAGTCAGCTATAGCCCGGCTGAACCCTGATGTCTTTGTTTGATTTGCATTTTGCTTTATTTTTTGTGTTATGTGTGGTTCTGTTTTGCTTTGCTTTTTACAGGGTGAACATACTCAAAATTTCTTTCAAAAGGAAAAAGTTCTTCATACACCAGCGCCAAAAACAGGTGAGTTCTGCCCACACTTGCTGCATGGGTTCTGGGTTCTGTACACGCTTGCTGTATTTGCTGTGTTATCGAGGCTTCCTCCAGACCTTCAGGGATGGGTTTCTGTATTTTAGGAAGGGAGAACTGGCCATCAGGTCTTCAGACCTGTGGTCCTCTCCATGAGTCAGTTGGCCTATAACTTGTTTTAGATGCAGAGACTCTGAAGATTCTGGCTCTTCCCCCAACAGCGCCTCTAGCCCATATTACCTTGTTTCTAGAAGTTCAAGTAATGCCCACTTCTCAGGGAGCTGTTTGGATTAGACAAAGGGGCCCAGTCTGAGCACCTAGCAGAGTCCACGGCTGCATAATAGGAAGCATCCATGCAGCCAGTCCCTTCTTTGAGTGTGTTCCACTGGTGATAGCTTGTGACTGGGTCTTACGAGTGGAGTCGGCAGGATCCTAGACAACTCTGTTTGTTTGCTTAGCCACAGCCGAAGTACACTCAGTAAGAAAGCCAAAGCTCCCACAGCCTCAGAGTGAAGGAGCTGGAATTTGAACCGAGGCGCCTGCCCTTTCCACACCACACCCTGTCTTGTTATGCTGCATAGTTGTCACTGGCTGTCACTGTGTGTCCATTTCCCAACTTTACAAAGATGATATGCCCTTAGGCTGACCCCACACAGTGAATGGGCACTTAAAAACGGGATTACTAGAGCTCAGAGTACCAAGGACTGGAATCTGGGTTGCCTGAGTACCCATCAACTCCCACCCCTAGGGCAAGGAGGGTCAGGATGGCACTAAATTTCATAGGGAATCAGAAAGCCTAAATGCAGGTAGACTAAAACCACAGCCCAGGGATGAAATGGCCTATTTATAAATACTGGAATTTACTCTAGAGCAAGAATTTGAGAGTCCCAGGGTTCTAACGTCTCTACTACCTGCTTGGTAGAAGAGTATTTCTTCAGGAAAGAGGTATTTCCAAGTCTGAGTTTCCAAGTTTATCAGGTGGTAGCTCCAAGTAAGCTCCCTCTTAAACTATATGCAGGTTTGAAACAACAGTGTTTGTGAAGCCCCCTCCCCCCGTGGTGAGGGGTCATGGATTTGGGCCATTTTTATTATCACACTCATAGAGACACTCCTACTCCAAGATATTCCTGGGACCCTGAAGTGCCTGGAATCCTGTTCCTTCCCTTTGTCACGTCTTCCCTGGTTATTCCATGTGGGTTGCAAGCACCACACATTTTAATCATCCTATACATCCATTACAGTGACTCCTCTACTCTTCTCCCTCCCAGGCTGAATCCAGGGAACATATCGTGGCCTTCAACATGCTAAATTACCGATCTTGCAAAAACTTGTGGAAATCCTGCGTCGAGCACCATTCATTCTTTCAAGCAAAGAAGTTACTACCTCAGGAAAAGAATGTTCTGTCTCAGTACTGGACTCTAGGCTCCAGGAACCCCAAAAAGTGAGTATGCTTTAGGGGGACCATCCATGCTAACCTGAGATATTAATGTGTGCTGGTTGTTCGTGGGTCAGGGGCATCCTTGGGCATGAGAGGCAGCTGTGAGAGGGTAAATCTGTAAAATTTACCCAGATTTTAGGTCCCTGGATGGCAGCTGAGGCTCTCCAGGGGAAGTTGTGATCTTTATATACCTACTCAGGTACATCTCATATCCTCAGCATTAGTGTGTGCCCCCCCCACCCCCCCTCCATTGTCATCTGAGTTCCCAGACAGCTGGAATTACAATTGCCACCACACCTTGTCCAATAAAGGAAACTGAGTGTCACTGCCAGCATATTGGGCTTTTCACAGCCTGAGGCCACTAAGCCAGCCCCTCCCATAGAACATTCATTAGTTCATAGGCACCCTATAAAAATGAACAAAGGTTTCCAGAGTCTGGTGGCTTTGGAATATATTGCCAATAATAGCTACAAAACAATAATTATAATAGACAATTACCTAGTATTTATAAAAAGAACACACTTAATTATAGTTAATTCTTGTAATAAACTTGACAAATGCTACCTACAAGAATAATATTCAAAATATTAAATGATAAGAACAGTAAAATTAAATTTATATATGTATGTCATGTACATTATAATTTTTAAAAATAATATATCTGTTGGGTCTTTAAGTAAAGTAACTGTGGGGCCTATGTTTTTGTTCTGTTTGTTCCAAGACAGCCTTGTATAAGAGACAGCAGAAATTGCTTATCACATTGTTAGAATTTCTAAGTCATTTGCTGGTTTTTTCAAAATTGTGATTGATTGTTGTGAATGTGGCTTTTTCTAAATGAGGCTCAAGTATGAGCTATTATTTGATGTGAAATTTGATAAGAGCGTTCTTGTCGCTTTTCTATTACATGTTAGTCCTTAGGTAATGTAATAATCTAGTAAGTGGCAAATTGCTTCTGGTAGGGGTGGTGTTATTTCTTATGAACCAAGAGCAATCATTTTTTAAAAAAGTGTTTAGCTCTTATAGTATTCATATGCACTCAATATTCTATCTACTACTGAATAGGCCATAAGGATAATGTTGATGAGGCACCTGTGGAGCTGCCTGGTACCCAGGATGCTACATGGTAACTATATCCTCTTCCTGCATGGTGGTCCCTCCAGCCAGCCGGAGGCATCAGATGAGAGATGCACTCAAGCGTGGTGAGCTTAGTCTCCCCACTGCTCGTCCACTACTGTTTTCCAGTGCCAGCACTGACAGCCCAGTTAGCTGCAGCTGGTAGGGCCATGCCTCTTTGTTAGGCACTCACTGGGTCACGCCATCCTGGGGACTTCCCTGGTGGAAGTAATGCTGAACACTCCAGGCCTGGCATCCCCCGCCAGGAGCCTCAGGATCCTAGCCCGTGTAGCAGCAGGAGCAACAATAGCAGATTAGCAACCCGTGTCTGGGAGAGTCCGGGAGTGTGCTCAGAGTAATGGAATCAGACTCAGGCGCTACAGCGGGTCAGATTGGCAGATTTGTACACTCAAGGAGTTCAGGTTGAAGAAACAAAAAAAAAAAGAAATTGTTTTTTTTTTTGTGACCTCTCCATCATAAAAATGTAATTGAGCTAAAGTACAAGGCATGAATGCACCAGTGAACTCTGCTATACACAGCTTTGCTGCGGAGTGGCTGTGTGAGTGGTAATATCACTATAGTTTCAGTACAGAGTGCAATGAGATGTGGAGTTTTCAGGGGGCCTCCTTGTCGGTGTGTTATTTGTGTGGCCCCACCCAGATGTTATAATGTTACTGTTTATGTGGTCTTTAGAAGGAAGCGGTTTTCTTCTAAGTAAGAATTGGCTAGACCTTGATGGGCAGTGGTGGTACACACCTTTAATCCAGCACTGGGGAGACAGAGGCAGGTGGGTCTCTGAGTTGGAGGTGAGCCTGGTCTATAGAGAGAGTTCCAGGACAGCCAGGGCTGTTACACAGAGAAATCTTGTCTTAAAAAAACAAACAAAAAAGTCAAATTGGCTAGACCTAATTCTCCAGGCAGGTTGGAGGTGGCATATAAGAGACTTGAAAGGGTACATTCCAACACTGAGTGACAGAGTTCAAATCCTCTGTCTCACACTTGAGTTTTAGTTTACCACCTCAAACTTCTCCATCTGCAGACAGTACAAAATGATGAGTTCTGGTCAACTTCTGTGATGTGAGAACCCCTATTTTGGCGCTTACAACAACAATAGTCTTTTATATCTCAAGGTTTGTGGGTTTGGAATTCCAGAAGGATGCTCCAGTGACTTTTCTGTTCCATTAGACCTACCCTGATGGGCAGGGGTTTTGTGACAGTCAGTTGCTCGTAGCCATTTTTAATCCTCTACAAAGGGTCACTTGAGGCCTGGGAGGCAGTTTAGGGTACAATTCGTCAATTTTTATTGGTACCATCTTTGAGCATACTGTTAATTTTGACTCTTAAATTGTTTTGTTGTTGTTGTTTTGTTTGTTTGTTTTACATTTACTTATTTATGTGTAGGGATGGGGTGGAGTTAAACACGTGCACACCATGGTACAAATGTGGAGGTCCAATGACAAATTCTGGGAATCAATTCTCTTCTATCCTGTGGGTCTCGGGGATGGAATTCAATTCATCAGGCTTGGTGGCAAGTGCCATTACCCACTGAGCTGTCTGACTAGCCCTTACCACTCACTTCCACTCATTTCCCAGATGAGGAAACCAAGGTCCAGCCCAGCCCCAGAGTATCATCCGTGTGTGTTGGGCCTTCTGATAGGTTTCATGAAAGAGGAATTTGACCATTAGTTTCCAGAGATAATGGAACAGTTTCAAGTTTCTATTAATAACTCGTGACACGTGCTTTAGGGATCTGCCATATTAAACCTTGGAGTCACGCTGCCTGCTTCTCCTTATTTTGATTTCATATCCTTAATCAGTGGCCATGTGGCTTCTGATATAACTGACCTCAGGGGAAAGGGTCGCCTGGTGATACAGCACTGAGCACTTTGATGAGAGTGACAATGGCATTCGTTATTATAAACCTGTACCTAGATTTTATTGTGCTTCTTTGAGCTGTTGTTTTTATCAGTCAGTTGGTTTTAGGCCATAAGGAAATATATGGAATATTTAAGACATTAGAGCATGGTGTAAAATTGGAAATGCCCCAACTGTTACCTCTAACCAGACTTCAAATGATTTACTAAGGTAATCTATTCTTTGGGATTTCAGTTTTCTAACTATAAATAAACTTCAGAAATAATAGCCTTCAGATAACACGTTCAAGGACTATGACCTGAAGCTGTTCTAAGTACATCCTTAGCTTCTCTGTCAAAGATTTCCCAGTGATCTGTGGTCACTGCCTCTGCTGGCCAAGGAATGGGGAGCATCTGGAAGGATGAGTGTGCTTTTGTTCAGGCTAGTGGGAGGCAAGTGAGGTAGATCCATTGAAGTTACCGGAGATGTGCTGGTCTGTGCTATTCTGGTGCTCCCTCTAACAGGTAGCTTTGGTTATAGTCTAGAAGCAGCTCGACTGTTTAAAGTAGTACAGACACAGAAGCATTTTCACCAAAAGACCAAATATAACCTGAAGAAACGCTGAACAAGAAAAGAAGTCTGGGCCAAGGGGATGGTTCATTGGGTAAAGGCACTTGCTGCCAAGCCTGATGACCTGAGTTTAGATCCCATCCCCACATGATGGAAAGAGTTGTTTACTGACCTCCGCAAGCACACCATGGCATGCCCACACACGTGTGTACCCATACAAAATAAATTAATCTAATCTTCAAATATTTTTAGAAGGGGGCTGATGATGGTGGCGCATGCCTTTAATCCCAGCACTTGGGAGGCAGAGGTAGGTGGATCTCTCTGTGGGTTCGAGCCCAGCCTGGTTTACAGAGTGAGTGCTAGGCCACACAGAGAAACCTTGTCTCAAAAAACAAAAACTTTTTTTTTTTTAATGGGTACTCTGGAAACTGCCTCCTGTCTCCACTCATCACTAGCTGGTGTGGCCAGGGCTGGTGTCACTGGGGGGGGCTAAGTAAGTGCCTTCGGAGAAGGTATCAGGGACATTGTATTTTATGGATGCTGCACTTGCTTCTTATTGGACATGTCAGTATGGAAAGTGACCCTGCATCTGGTTTTTCAGGTCTGTAAATAACCAATATTGCAAAAAAGTGATTGGAGGGATGGTGTGGAACCCAGCCATGAGGAGGTCCTTATCGGTGGAACGACTAGAAACCAAGAGCCTGCCTTCTCGGTCCCCACCCATCACCCCCAACTGGTATGCCCTCTTTTATGCTGTTCACTAGCAGCAGAAACCTTCTCTCTTTTAAAAACATAAAGTCAACTTTAAACTCTTCAACAGGGATGGCCTGTAGTCAGATGTCCATGTGAGTTCTATGTGTTGCAGAAGGAGCCAGTCAAGGCATACAGACTCTTTCCATACTGGATACTGCTAAGATGGCCTTAAAATAATAATAAATTCACCTATTCATGGATGCACTGTGACATTCCAATACATGTGTGGTATTCAAGTCAAGTTACTTGTCATGTCCATCAGACAAATAGCATTTCTTTGTGTTGAGAACTTAAAAATCCCTTCTAGTAGCTGGACATGGTGGTAAATACTTGTACGTTTAGCATTCAGGAGCCTGAGGCAAGAGAGCCAAGAGTTCTAGGCCAGCTTGGGCTACATAGACCCAATCTCACACAAGCAAGCAAACAAATAAGTGCATCCTTTCTGCTGGCTGTTTTGAATAGTCAGTTGATTTATTGTATAGCCCAGTCACCCTACTGTTCTAGAGTATCAGATGCTATCCCTTCTACCTAACTGCATTCCTGAAGTACTTCTGTAAACTGCATTCCTGAAGTACTTCTGTAAAAGATGGTCAATTGCTGGATGGTGGTGCACACATCTTTAATCCCAGCACTCCAGAGGCAGAGGCAGGGGGATCTCTGAGTTCGAGGCCAGCCTGATCTACAATGTGAGTTCCAGGACAACCATGGCTACAGCATTTTTTTTTGAGACAGGGTTTCTCTATATTGCTTTGGAGCCTGTCCTGGAACTAGCTCTTATAGATCAGGCTAGACTCAAGTTCACAGAGATCCTCTTGCCTCTGCCGACCACGTGCTAGGACTAAAGATGCGCACCACTACTGCCCTGTTAGAAACCCTGTCTTGAAAAACCAAATAATAATAATAATAATAATAATAATAATAATAATAATAATAATAATAATAAAAAATTGGGGCAGGGCCCAAGGGCTCAGTGATAAAGTACTTATATAGCATGGGCAGATCCTGTTTTCATTCTACGACCTTACAAAATAAATTAAAAAAGCATTTGGAGCCTAGGGGCCTGCTGTAACGTCCGCCTTAGAATCATGGGGTATGGCAGCATCTTGAACTCATTATGCTCTAAGAAGTTTGTGGTAAGGAAGTTAAAAGGATAAAGGATGAAAAGAGAAAAGAAACCCTCAGGGTTCTAAGTTTCCACAAATGGAATAATATATGATGCTTCTTCTTAAGCTTATTTCAGAAAAGGATCATGTGGAATCTTCTATTGGTATTTTAATGCTCCACAAAGATAGCAGCCATTTTTGTGAATGTCTCCTAAAAGACCAGGTGTCATCAACAGAAGAAGCAAAGCAGGGAACGATTGTACCCTGGCTCCATAGGATTAGCAGCATGGCTTGCAAGACAGGTGCACCTGCACATTTCCTAGTTAGGATCTATGGACTTAAGGGTTATGGGGAGAGGCTTGCTAGGAAAGGAGCCTCTACAGGGGCCTTGTTTCCTGGGCAGTATTGATGATGATGATGACGATGACGACAATGACATGTGTGCTGTAAAGCTCTGGCTTAATTTACAAGGAAATTTGTCAAGGAGCTAGAGAAGAGCCCCTAGTGATATCTTGGAGAATAGCAAGCTTGGGTGTTACTGCATCCCTGGCTTGTCTCTCTTATTGCAAATTAAAGATCCTCTCCCAGGAGTTGCAAGAGCCATCTTGCTTCCACAATGGACACACATTGATTGTGCAGGAGGAGGGGGAGGGGCTTGCAAGTCACTGAGAGTCCCAGAGAGAGTAGCTGACAAAGGGAAGCTGGGGACACTTCAGGAGAAGGATGCACTAAGGGCCCGGCACCCAGGTGCAAGCCTAAATGTTCCATGAACACTGTCTCGTTTGGCTCATCCTCAGGAGCTGTATCTACAGCTGAGGCCCAGAGGTGATGGGACTTATCCAAGGTCACCTGACTACTGTTGATAATGGAAAGCAGGGCAGTGTTCTGATGCCCATCACATTACAGGTGTTGAATAAGAACACTAAAAATACCAAGCATGTTTGGTCTGCAGAGAAGGCTGTGTGTAAAGTGCTTGCTGTGTAAACAGGAGGACTGAGTTCCGATGCTAGCATGCACATTGAAAAGTAAGGCATTGCTATAAGTGCCTATAATCCCAGAGATGGGAGAACCCCAGGGGCTGGCCAGCCAGCCTAGCTGGGTGGATGAGCTCCATGTTCAATAAGAGACCCTGCTTCAAAAAATAAGGTAAAAGTGACAGAAGGTACCAAGCTAGACATGCACTTTCATGGACACCCCCACACACATATAACACACATGTACACAAGTTCTAAAGTTAATTTTCCCTCTTGGATCAAGGGAAACTCAGTGAGAAGTAACACACTTTGCCTTTTTAATCTGTCAGTGTGTAGTTAGGCGGGAAGTGAATGGTACCTTTGACAATAGAACCAGGATGTAACCCTAGTGCAGAAACGGACTTCAGGAGCCCATTCCCCATGGAGGGATACTCCCTTAGCCTGGAGACACCAAATGATTTGACAGACTTTGATGATCCCTCATGGAAGGCCTCACCCTCCCTGGGGAGTGGATGGGGGATGGGATGGGGGGGGTTCAGTGGGGGACATGGGAGAGAGAGGGTACTGGGATCAATATGCAAAATAAGAAAAAAATATTTAAAAAAAAAATCTGTCAGTGTACATTGTTGGATTGGTGAGAAAACTTCCAGATGGCTTGAACCTTCTAGGAGAGCAGCTCATCCTTAATCAATACTCACTGACCAGAAGGCCTAAACCAGTTCAGTTCTGCCTATTTCTAAGCTGAGACTGTGGTTCTCTGGGCTACACTACTTACTGGAACATGTCAGGGACCTGTGTTGCCCTGGCTGGAGTCTACTGGAGTAAGAATGATCTCACTGGCCCTGACATATTTGTTTTGGTTGTTTTTGAGACAAGTTCTCATTAATTCCCCTGACTGCCCTCCTTGGTGCTGGAGTTATGGGTGTGTACCACCACACCCAGCTCTGGAGCTGACTTTCTAAGCACCAGTCAGGGCATCCATGGAGACACCGGGTCATAAGGTTACACAGCTGCTATTGGGTCAGACCCCCGGGTGGGGACTGCGCTCAGCACTTGGCAGTGTACTTCTCCCCTTTGCAGGCGAAGTCCCCGGCTACGGCACGAAATCCGAAAGCCCCGCCACTCCTCTGCAGACAACCTGGCCAATGAGATGACCTACATCACGGAAACAGAAGATGTGTTCTATACCTACAAGGGATCCCTGTCCCCAAAAGACAGTGATTCCGAAGTTTCCCAGAACCACAGCCCACACCGAGAGTAAGAATCACATATTTTTGTATCTGTCTTTGGGCTGGTGAGGAGTTTGCTCAGGCCCGAGTGCCAGCTGAGAAGAGGTAGGAGCTGGTGGTGCTGAGATGGGAACATTTATCCAAATGCCTGTGTGTTCCTGGAGCTCACAGAAGCTGAGCTACTCTCCAAGACCTGTATGTGGGTCCTGTACTGCCCAGGACACAGGCAGTGCCTTGTATAAGATATTTCTGTCTGCGTCACACAAGTACAGACTCACTATTCCTCTGCATCATTTAAGCTTGGCCTGTGACCTTAGTCAACAAGACCATTCTGACATCCATCTAGGAGCTGTCTGGGAACAGCAGTGTGTCCTCGGATTCTGTTTCCATTCCACTTTAAATTAATAGTGTAAAGAGAGAAAACAAAACAGGACTGCCAGAGTGGCTCAGTGGGTAAAGGCACTTGTTGCCAAGTCTGTCGACCCATACCCGTGTGGTGGGAGCAGAGAACCAGCTCCCACCACTTGTCATCCCACCCCCACAGCATGCATGCACGTGCACACTCATTAAAATATTTCAAAGTAGGCTTTTTATTGGGAAGTGTTTGTCAAGGAGAGTTTCTTCTCAAGTCTTCCGTGGCCTCTTTTATGTTGTCTGAGACAGGTGCAGCAATGTACTTCTATGTGGCTTGCATTACGGGACCATTGAGGATCTGGTCTTTCACTTTCCTGTAGAGTGTCCACTTGCCACAAGACTTCATGCTTCTAACTTGCTGTGTAGCTGAATCTGATGCTGAACTCTTGATGCTCCTGTCTTCACCTCCTAAGTGCTGGGGTTACAGTCATGTGCCAGCATACCCAGTTTATGTCCACTCTTCCTGCAGTGGCATGGTCCCCTCATCGATCAAGGCCAGGAAAAAGTGTCTGTTCTGAACGTCAGGCTTGAGTCTTAGTTACTCAGACACAGCTGGTGCACCTGCTCTGTTTTTGCCTTGATTATCAGAGAGCTCGGAACTGCTTAAGCATTAGATTCAATTGCATTTACTTCCCCCAAGCCAGGTGTCTGGTAGTCTCTTCTCCACATTCCTCACCTTCAGTATACAATTCTATCATACCTCTGTGTTTGGGATAAGCCATCTCATATTTTGAAGCAGATAAGACGCAGGTCATAAATGGTATCTTTAAGTTAAATCATGATAGGAGAGGGTAAGGCATTCGGAAGCCACTCTTAGCCATTGGGTATTCAAACCGTTAAGCCCCAAATAATGGCCAAAAACCGAGAAAGGTAATGTCTCCCATATTGGAAAAGGATTAGCAAGCAGGCACTTCAATCTGTAAATGTTTGCCAAAGAAGCTGCTAACGCTTCCTCCATTAAGTACATCCTGCATGTGCAGTAGGCATTCACAGGTGAATGGCAGATCTTCCCACTTCCTTGAGGGGTGGAAAGGTAGGGAGCTTGTTTCTTTGTCCCTGCCCACAGCAAACTTGCTTTTCAGATGATCTGCATTGTTAACACCTCCGCTTAAATGATCCCTGTGCTCATTATCTCTTTGTGATCTGAACCTCAGGACTCTGTTGAAATGATCTCTGTCTGTTGCTGCAGTTTGCAGCCTGCTGCACTGCTGTGAAAGCTGCAATAGAAGGGTGTGAGCTTCATTCATGAACCTGTGGTTTTGTAAACTATGAGCAGCTCTATGATGGCAAAGCAGGAGTATAGCAGGTGGCTATTGGAACCAGCCTGAGTCCTCCTTGACCTCCAGAGTCTGTTACCTTGATACAAGGTAACAAACCCCATCGAGGGTTTGTGGAAGTCCACATATACTCTCCCTATTGAGCATCTAGATTTTCACTGGCCAGTGCAGCAGCCACCCACTGTAGGCAGCTGCCCATATGTAAGCCAACTAAATTAAGATGTGTGTTCAGCAACTAGGACATGCACATGCATTTTAAGCATCGTCGAGTCACATGTGCACGACCCCTCCATATCAGTCAGCCGTTACTGCCCGAGCCTATCATCCCACCTTGCCAGTGGGATGAAAATAGAGCAAACCCCCAAAAGTCAAGTTTAGGGGCATCACCTGGCTTACCTGTGAAGTATTTGCCACCTCTCACCTAGCTGCACAGCTGTAGAGTAGGTGGGGGACCTCTCAGAGTCTTTGTGTTCCCATGCCTATGATGGCTGAGGTCTTGTCTCTGTTTCTCCTGAGTACGTCATCATACTGGCTGGTTGTGGAGAAGGGACCACAAAATGCAGTTCAGTAAGGCTTCATTTGTAAGTGCTTCCAGGCCTGCTGGGGCAGTACCGTGTCATCTGCCTTCACTGTCACACTGTGGTGCTCTGTGGCTCTGGGTTGAGAAAGGCCCACACAGACTTTCCTACTGTTCTACAGCCACAGTGGCTGTCAGCATTTCTAGGCTTTCATGGTCAGGTCTGCCAACCACCACCCATACCAGACTGCTTACTTATAAACTCTTGAGAGTGAGGTACAGTTTGAGGTCTGCTTCTTCCAGCTCTGGTGGCTTCAGTGACTTCTTGCCCCAGCCATTTCTTCACATTTCATGCTGGTTCTCTGAACTGGTTCCATGAGACCTTCCTTGTAAGATGGCCCCTCTGGGCGCTTTTTCTTTTGCAGCCCAGGATTAGGAGACACAGAAGATGCTATTGCAAAGGTACTCTGACAGCGCAGAGAGTATGCTTTGTGGCTGGGCTTCCCAAGGTGGGGGTGGATGGTTGGAAAACCAGAACCCCAGTCCCCTCAGTGGCATCAAGGACCACTCTGTACTGGGGCTTCTGAAGCCTTAGCACCTGGGCAGGAGGGCTTTATACCTCAGGCAAGAGATACAGGCTGGTCTGAACTTAATTGAAAAGAAACTTTGCGGTAACATTGTATTTACGAAATGTTTAAGAAGCAGTTTGACATGTTTTCTACAGCAGGTTTGTGTTAAGAGTCTAAAAGAAGCGTTCTGTCAGAGAAATCAGAGGAAGGAGCTCAGACAGCAAGGACGACTCCTTTGAAGCAGAATTAAGTGTAATGTTCTGTGCTCATTCACAAAAGAGAAGAGAGAGAAAGAGAGAAAGGCGTGCTTAGCCCCATCACCCACACCCACCCACCCCCACCCCCCCCAGTGCACAGGGAAGGAACATCATCCCGGCAGATGAGTCACTTGCTGGTTGGTTCCATATTTATAGCAGCGCCGCAGAGTTTATGATTATAGTTTTGAAGCCTTGGCAGAGTGCTTTGTGCCCAGGCAGGCTGTGTGCTTTTGTTATTCCCAGCTCCGCTCTCTATTCCTCCTTGCTTCCAGGGGAAGTTCAAATTCTGGCAGAGGAGCCGATTTTCCTCATGGAAGAGACAAAAACCAAAATTCCCCATCTCCTCACACCCAGACACAAGGAAGGAGATGTGTGCAAAGGAGGAGCCCACCCTTGGAGCTGGCACGGGGGCGGGGGGGGGGGGCAAGCAAGGGTGACGGCGGCTCGGGCTTGTACCCCAGAGATGTTACTGGGCTTCTTGGTCAGAGTTGTTTTGGTGGGTCACCACTATTGTGCCCAGAGTGAGTCTCACTTCCTGTCACAGTAGCTTATTGGCTGCTTACTTCTTTCCCGAAGGCCTGTCCTCTTCCATTAGACACAGGATAACTCTTACATTCATTTGAAAACTTGTGTGGTTTGGATGGGACCTTGTGGCAGTCTCCTTTCTCCATCTACAGCCCCACAATGGAGGAGTTCATGTGGCCCCATCCTGAGCCCTTGGGGTCTCTGAACCCTACCAGTGACAGGATTCCTTGCACTGTGATGCTCTGTTGTACTGTTAGACACTCAAGTTGTTGATACAATTGACCCTCTCTGCCCACATATTCTGCATCCATAGACCAAATCACCTACGTGTCCAGAGTGATGAGACCTATCCTGGTCACTGAAGTAAAATATGTACTGATTTTGTTTTTCTTATCAGGACAACAAGTGTTTGTGCAACATTGGTACCAAATTGGGTATCGCAAGTAACCTAGATATGATTTAAAAACATAGGGAGTTGCATATAGATAAAATGAAAATATTAGAGCATTTTATATAAGAGACTTAAGCACCTGCAAGGGAGGGTATCCTGGAACTCCTCATCAGGGGATACTGAAGGGCAACTGTGTTATTCTCAAACTGTTCTTATCTTAGGGTTTCTATTGCTGTGAAGAGACACCATGACCACAGCAACTCCTTTTATAAAAGGAAACATTTAATTGAGGGTGGCTCACTTACTGTTTCAGTGGTTTAGGCCATTATCATCATGACAGGAAGCAAGGCAGTGTGCAGACAAACAAGGTGCTGGAATTGAGTCTTTATATCTTGATCCAAAGGAAGCAGGAAGTGAACTGACTCACAGGGCATGGCTTGAGCATATAGAAAACCTCAAAGCCCACCTCCACAGTGACACACTTCCTCCAAGAAGGCCACACCCATTCCAAAAAGGCCAACCTCCTAACAGTGACACTCCCTTTAGTGGGGGACATTTTCTTTCAAGCCACCACAGTGATCTACATTTTGATGTTGACCTAGCATGTAGGCTCCTGCCTTTGGTTTCTAGAATGAACGTGCGGCACATTGCTTTCCAGGTCTCCTGGCAGCCCTGCCTTAAAGAACAGTGGTTCTTTAAGTAAAGCAGTCTAGTTCTTCTTGCCACTTTCTACTTTCCTTCCCTGCCACTACCGTCTGGGAACACGTGGTCCCCTAAGCAAAAGACAGTGCAGCACCTAATGTAGGAGAGGGTCTGCTACCATCCAAGGGAGCCAGCCAGGGTCAAGGTTTCTTTAGGTGTGGGTAAGGTGGTGGTGATGGCAATTATCCCTGAGCCAGACCAGGTCTATGGGTGAACCCCCATAAGTACTGGAACCTCCCAACCTAGACTCTGCTCTTGATCTCTGTATTGGTGCTATGACTCCCATTGTCTCAGAGCCACCCGGTTTTCACCTGCAGAGAACCTTAGTTTCCTTTGTCCTCTTTTCCATCTGCCATCCTCACTCACATGATTGGTTCTAATCTACGTCACCACCTCCACCATCCTCTGACATCTTTTGGATCAGAGAAAACATCATATACAAGTATTTCATGAGAATGGCGCTGTTTCTCATCTCTCCAACATTGCAATTCATTCAGAAAATAGGATTCCGTCATGACCTTTGTTTCTGATGCCTGTTACATCTCTAGCCCCGGTGTCTGACATTCTGTCTCTCTGCCCCTTTCTTCCCAGGGACTGGGGTGTCTATCCCACTCTGGCTGCTCCGTTTCCTGGAGGATGGAGACAGGTCTCTTGGTGTTGCCTACCTCCTATTCAGAGGTGGCTTCTTGCTTCCTTCACCCTCCCCCTTTCTCAGCTCCTTTTTCAGTAACTTCCCTGAATTCCCCATTCCGTGGGGCTGTGTCTTCTCCCGACAACTCCACAGAGTACCCTGGAGAGAGAGCCATGCCGTTCTGACATCTTCTCTCTTGGCATCCCATCATCTGCCTGTCCAACTTCTCATCATTCTATTTTCTCTTTGAGTCTCTCTCCATCCGCCCTGAACACCAAGGAGAATGTCGTTATGCTCTTCAGGAATAAACCTGTGTGCAGCTAATCCATCCAAACACTGGCCACTTGTTCATTAAACCCCTACCTGTTGGTAGAATAGCCTCTCCAACCCTACTTAGGAGACAGGTTAGGGTGTGGGAGGTCTTAGAATATGTCAATGTTCACTGTTTTAAAACAGGATTAAATGTTTTTAGGTTTATTATATTTTATGTATTTGAGTGTTTTGCCTACATGTTTGTATGTGTACCATATGTATGCCTGATTATCATGGAGTTCAGAAGAAAGAATTGAATTCCCTGTGAGCTACCATGTGGGTGCCAGAAACCAAACCCAGGTCCTCTGCAAGAGCAAAAAGTGTTCTTATCTGCTGCGCTATCTGTCTAGCCCCAAGTTCCCTTTTTAGATATAGATCAAAAGCTGTTTTATTTTTGTTTGTTTTGCTTTTCTGGGACAGGGCCTGTCTACTTAGCCCTCTTAGCCCTGGCTGTCCTGGAGCTCACTATGTAGACCAACCAATGTTTGGTATTAGGAAGAGAAAAACACTTTGAAACCCTGTGAAACAAAACTCATGAACTACAATTTTAAAACCTAAGGGAATAGGATGGTTGATGGTACCATTTTACTGAATGCAGTTTTTTTTCACAGGCTGGTGAGATGGTAACCAGTAAACTGCAGGCCAGATTCTTCTCTTACACACCTCTGTTTGCCTCTGGTCTGCCGTTGAATATTTTGTTCAAATAAACTAAGACGGTGAATCATTGTGTGTGAATAGGGTGCAGATTTTATATTTAGAGTAGGCTAACTTAGGCTGGGGGTGTAGCTCAGTCCTTGCTTACCATGTGAGAGGCCCTGGACTCTCAGCAGTGAAATAAGAGAGAGAAAGAGAGGGAGAGAGAGAGAGAGAGAGAGGGAAGGAAAAAAAAAAAAAACAACCAATCCCTCCAACTTCTACCCCGCAATTTTAACTTGCTAGGAAAGCAGAAGCACCATTTAAAGAAAAAATCTACAGGCAACGGCCTGGAATAGACATTTATGGAACTGTAGAAGCAGACGTGGGACTGTGAGGAATGGGTGGAGAAGCCACGCCCGGAGGTTTTGTAGGATCCTGTGCTGGTTACATCATGTACAGTATATAACCCACCGCCCACCCACTGCCTGTGCATTACTCTTTAAATGATGCTTCTGCTCCCTGGAAGTTCATATTAGTGGGTCCATGGCTGCAGTCCTCTTGAGCCAGAAGTTCAAAACCAGCCCAGGCAGCACCTCCCACGTTAAGAAGCAAGGTGTTAAACCAGAGTAGCTGTCTGCATCTGCCCACCAGCCTTCAAAGCAGCTGAGAGAGGAGCTGTTGCCCATGGCCATAGTTCCTCCTGCCCTTTGCCCCTAAGTCATATGTGATTGTATTTAGCCAAAATGAGAGCTTGGGTAGCCTAAGGACTTCTGCAGAAATGCTCAGGTTCCATTATCCCATGGCAAAGTCAAGATGCCAGCTCCATCCCCCCCACCCCAGTCAATGGTATTTACTCTGATAGTATTAATTGATTTATTAAAACATCTCCTTCTTCCCCATGATGAAGGAGTTTGTCTGAAAACAAGCCAACACAAAGCTGCCTGACCCGGAAGTCATCCAGTTCTGTGTCGCCGTCTTCGAATGCTCCGGGCTCCTGCTCCCCAGACGGAGTTGACCAACAGTTCTTAGAAGACTATCACAAGATGATCAAAGGGGGCTCTGTCGAGGATGCCAGCCAGTACTACTGTGACAAGGTGAGGGGGTCCAGGTGCTGCCACACTTGGCCCAAGTGACTTGGTGACCCTCCCTCATGGACAGGCAAACGAGTAGTTCTGACTGAGAGGAAGGATCTTGTCACCAACCACTGCGAATGGAAGGGATATAAATGACACTGTCACCTCTCTTCTAGAATGACGAAGGTGATGGCTACCTTGTCCTGATCCGTATCACCCCAGATGAAGATGGAAGATTTGGATTTAATCTTAAGGTATGCTTTGGCGAGTATGTGTAGCCCTTAGGTTATATGCAGCGAGACAGTCTTCAGGTGAATTTTGAATTTCAGTCGGAGATCTGCTATATACCCACACTGTATCAACAAAACAAAACCTCACTTGGCGCTGTAGAGGCAGCTCAGTCGGTAAGGTTCTTGCCATGCAAACATGAGGACCTGCTTTCAGTCCCCAGAAACTACCTAACAGAGATGAGTGTGGTGGTGCACTCCTGTGATCCCAGCACTGGGGGAGCAGAAGCAGGTGGATCCCTGGGCCTTACTGGCCTGTCTAGCATAATCGGCAAGCTCTGGGCAAGTAAAAGACACTGTCTCAAGAAACAAATTAGATGGCACCAGAAGAATGAGATCCCCAAGGATGACCTCTAGCCTCCACCCATATACACATGTGCACACGGTCATTCAGAACTACCCAGGGCCTTTTATATGCTTGTATAACTACCTTATCGTAAGTGTTTGCAGTGTGCCTGACAATAGCCGTATTATACTATATTTCTGTCATTTTACTGAGCTCTTAGAATAAGTGGTTTATGCAGAGCCTTGGGGACTAATGCCTGTAACTCCAGTATATCAGAGACCAACACAGGAAGATTATGAGTTTGAAGCCAGCCTAGACTGCATATCAAGTTCATGGCCAGCCAGAGCTGTCGAGACCTTATCTCAAAAGAAATGAAGAAAGCCTAAGACGGTTGTTAAACAGATCTTACAAATGAAACTGAGGCTCAGAAAGTAGTGTGTGTGATTGGTGATCAAACTCAGGCCACAGCCCACCCTGGAGGGGTTATTTAGAGAACCCTACAGCCCTGCTAGACTGGTAAAGGAAGCTGGCTCTTTAAATTGCTGGGTTCCTTGTCTAATGGGTCCCTCTAGGCAGTGTCTCCAAACTGCTACCATGGGCCAGCGCCCATCTGTTTGTGTACATAGCATTATTGAAGCAGGCGCTGCACGCATTCGATTACAGATCCAGGTATTTATTGGTGGTATTAAATGACTGCCTCAGGGCCCTCTTTCCCACACAGCTTAAATAGCTATTGAAGGAAGCATAATCTAACTTCCATCTCACTCCCACCTCCCCACTCCTCCCGCCCCCATCCCTCTTCTAGGGTACCAGCCTCTGGCATGTCACACACATCCTATTCTTCCCAGCAGCCCCCTAGGGCTCTCCTCACAGGGGAGCACTCAGGTGCATGTGGCCCTTCCTGAGGCTTTGTGCCTCCTCTTTCAGAAAAGTTAACATAGCCCTTTGCCAGAAAATGTTGTTGGGTCCTCCAAGGGCATCTTCAGTTCCGGTGATGAGGATGTTAGGATATGCTTCTGAGCAGAATTCTGGCTATCCTGCTGGGTAAAGAGGAGTCAGCAGTGTGTTCTGTAATTCTGCAAGGGGTCCCAGCCCTGTGATTGGTGGTCCTTCTGCAAAACCTTTCTGAACCATAAGGCTCACATCTACTGTATCTACATCTCTTTGATGGCAAAACTACTTCAGTGTTTTAGTTTTGGTTTTGTTTGCTTTAAAACATTTACAGGGAGGAGTGGATCAAAAGATGCCTCTTGTGGTCTCTAGGATAAACCCAGAGTCGCCTGTAAGTAAACATATTCCATTTTGCTTCCTGCGTTTGCTTTCCCCTGAGTCAAGCAAGTTTCTATTTCTACATCCCATTCCTGAGTTTTGTTGGGATTTAATTTTTATTTGATTGGGGTGGCTGGTTAGGTGATCAGGTCCTTGCTTGGTTTGATCAGTAACAACGTGTATTTGGTAATAGACACAGACAGATGAAGACAAAAGTGGGACTCACATTAACTGTAACTGTGTAGTATGGTCCCTGAAACTGTGGAGCTGTCACCTGGGGCCTTGTTATATGTGTGAACCTCTGGCCAAAGCACAGGTGCGGGCCCAGGCCTAGAGTCCTGCTTACCCTAGGTCTGTCTGTAAGAAGATCCTTGTGTGATATGTATGCACATTGAACTTTGGGTAGTGCTACTCTAGTGAAGGAGACTGAGAGAGTTTGCTTCCTGCTTGCCTCCCGTAGAGATCCTTTGCCTCTTTTTGATTTTCTTGCTATGTACATGTGTAAGGTATTGAATGATCTATTGGCTAAGCCTGTATGGAGTGGACAGATGAGTGGGAAGACCTGTTATCTTCCCTGGTTTTTGTGTGATGGTTTGCTTTCACTAACACACTGCAATGTGAGCAAGTGACTGTGCCATCTCTGAGGGGATCGCTTGGGCAGAGGGTTCCCTCTTCAGTCCTCATACAGCTTACCACTGGGGTCTGGGAAGATGGCTCAGTGGTTGATGCGCATGCTGCTCAAGCCAGAGGACCAGGTTTGCATCCCTAGTACCCACATAAAAGGCAGGCAGCAGGTGCAATGACCACCTGTAATCCTATTGTGTGGGAGGCAGATGGGACCCCAGAGCCTGGATAGCAGGACTAGGTGAACTAATAAGATGAGTGAGAGCCCCTGCCTTGGTAATGGAGTAAAAAAACAATCAAGGAAGATACCCATTGCCCGTGACTGTGTGCATGTGAACACATACACACACAGGGTTTTGTTTCTGTTTTAAACTTGCCTTTTACCAGTTGCTTTTTGCTTGTGGTTTGTAGGGAATAAAGCTTGTTTTCCCACACCATTCTGGTCACCATCTTGCTATGGTTTCTGCCCCTGCTACGGGACGGACAACATTGTATTTCTCCCTTTGTAAGACAGATTAATGCTCATTCATAGCTGACTGGGCATTTTTGTTCTATCCAACACACCAAAGGTTGGAGGTGTTGTTGCGTCATTCTGCTTAGCAAGGTGGGCTCCCGTGAAGAAACGCTTCTGTAAACTTGGCTTCCCTGTTCTGATTCGCTTTTAAGTCCCAGCAGCAGCAGCAGCAGCAGCTTTGTCCACCTAGCAGCAGCTACACAAACGACGGCAGTGAAACCCAAGAGAGGGGAGGTGAACTTGATCGCAGTCTCAGGTGTCTGGGATCAGAGAGAGGCGGCCCTCTTCTTCCCCTTGAGGCCAGTGCTATGGTAACAAAGAAACTCACTTCCCTCCACCAGGCGGACACCTGTATGCCTAAGCTGAATGAAGGGGATCAGATCGTGTTGATCAATGGCCGGGACATCTCAGAGCACACTCATGACCAGGTGGTGATGTTCATCAAAGCAAGCCGGGAGTCCCACTCGAGAGAACTGGCCCTGGTGATCAGGAGGAAAGGTAACTCACAGGCCCCTGGGGGTGGAGCCACAGGGACACGCTGCCGAGGAGCTGCATCTTATCTACCCAGTTTCTTTGTTTATTTGGTGTTCTGGGACAGCTCCCACACATAGCCCACGCTATACTCCAGTAGCAGCAATTTTTCTGCTTCAGCTTCCGGGATGTTCCACTTGTAAGCATGAGGTCCCATTCTGGGCTGCATGCTGTATTTTCTACAGTAGTAGTCAGCGTTTGGAAATGAATTTCTTAACAATATCTGACTTGTCACCAGCACAAACAAATAAACAAACAAATATGAAGGTCTGTATGCAGAGGCCATGACCATTCCTGGCCAGTCCTCCAGAGAGAGGCAACCCTAGTACCCTTTACATAGACTTAGAGCCCTGTAATTCTAACAGCCCACTCTTAGCTTGCCTGGCTCTGAATGTGACTCACTAGGTCCTGTCTTATTTTTGAGTGTTTGTCTTTGTCACAAGGGAGGCAGTAGGATCAGAGGGCAGGGACCTGACCCTGCCTCTTATACTGTGGACCCTCCAAGATAACCAGTCTTCCCTATCGTTCCCCAGATGTTACACCAGCATGGGTAGCCTAGACTCTCCTCAGGGGCTCTTGTGCAGATTAAATGACTCACTTGGAGCACTGGGGAAATGGGGGAATACTGTAAATATGTGAAGAAAGGCCTGTTAAATAGTATTACTGAAGAAAGGCCTGTTGAATAGTGTTACTTGTTGTTTTAATATGCTGAGCCAAGTACTCCCAACTAGGGACAGTGACAGAATAAAGAAAAGATGGACACACAGACTCAGGACAGCTGAGTTCATATGGGCTGTGTGCACTCTGGTACATGGCATCAACCACTTCAACAGTGAGTTTACTGTGGACAGCACAGGGGGGAGGAGTTAGCTAGACACTGTAGGCGGTTTCTGTAGGCAGTAGTCTCAGGCTGTAAACATCTGGGAGGAGGAAGCTACAGTTGCTAGATTTTGTACACACTGGCCAGTCATTCATAAACACTTTTACTTGGGCTACAGGGTGGCTATGCCATTCTGAGCCTGACCTGAGGAAGGCTTTGCCAATTTCCTATGGGTCCAAGGCATTGGTCCTTGACATGGCTGTGCCTGTGACCTGTGACAACATACATATTCATTCAGGACTTCTTATGCTCTTTATAAATTCACTTCCTCAGCTCCCCACACTTCTATAGTCATATTATTAGTATTATTATAACATTTGTTTGTCCATTTTATTTTTGTACATATGTGTGCTGGCTCTTGCATAGCTTTAAACACTAACATGAATAGAACCTGGGTTTGTAGTCTGGCCTTGGTGTAGGCGCGGCCCATTGCCTCACTCCCTGCTCCCACTAGGACCCCTATCAGCCATACTGGAGCCATGCTCACCCTACCCCTCCTGGGAGGCCTTAGGGCAGCTCTCCAGCTCCCATCCATCCCTGTCCTGACACCCACTGTGCAAATCCCAGCAGCCTCCTAGAACTCAGACGCTCAGTGGGAGTTCAACAGTAACAGGCCATACCAGGGAAAGTGTGCTTTGGGCTGCCTGCTTCATGGTGGCAATCCCTTTAGCCCTCACCTGCAGGGAGAAGAATCAGGAAACAAAGCCACAGAGAGAGGGAAGGCAGTTGCCCTACTACCATGTGGTTATGGCCACACATTGATAAGGGACCAGTCCACCCCCTTTGTGCCATCCTGATTATCCAGACCCCCAGGAAAGGTCACCTCTTTTGGCCACAGGGGACTGATGCCTGCTGGTGATAAGGAAAACCTAGCACTGTTAGAGATCACCTGTTTTCAAGCAACTATAATAACCTTCTTTGTAGCATCAGTCTGACAGTGAGAAATACGAATTTAAAGAAAAGGAAGTTAGCGAGTTTAACACAAAGGGTTGAAAATATGACCGAAACCACATATCATAAGAAAAATTGCTTTGCTGTGGTCAGTAAGTGTGGCCCTTAAAGGCAGGTAAAGATATGGACTGCTTTCCCATGACCCTGCCTGGACAGGCTGGGTGACTGAACAAACTCTCTGGAATGGGAAACTCAATAGCTGACTCAGAATTCTGAAGATTCAGTTCAACTATCTGAGAAAATTCGAAGTTGTTTAGTTACTTTCTCCTTTCCTCTTGTCTTGAAAGTCGGGAGCCATCGAGAGCTCAGTGAGGGAATAATTTCCCTTTCTGAGTTAAAGGGAAAATTCAGAAATGTTCCTGAAGTTTCAAATTTAGGAAGAGGAAGTAAGGGTTGATGATGACATCTGAGGTGAAGTATTGCATAAGGCAGAGAAGGGGAGGAGATGTGGCTCAGCAGACAGCGTGAGAACTGGAATTTAGACCTCTAGCACCCATATAAAAAAAACAAGGTGCATTATCCCAGCACATGGGACGTAGAGACGGGACCCCCAGAATTTGCAGCTAGCTTGATTACCCAGTTCATTGAGTTCTAGGGCCAAGGGACAGGCCCAGTCTAAGGTGGAGAGTGATGAGGGAAGATACATAATGTCAACTTTGAACTCCCCAAACACAGACACACACACAGACACACACACACACACACACACACGATAGGAAGCTTGGGCCTGTGTTTTTCTCCATAGAGCCTGGTGTGTAAGGAGAAGTTGAACTTGAAGAGGTGAGGCTGAAATGCAGAGATGTTGGCACTAGTACTAATCCCTTGGCAAAACTGATCTCAAATTGAAACTAGGCTCTTAAGGGGAAGGAACAACACACTGGGACAGTGAGATATAGCTCAGTGGATAAAGGCACCTGCTGCCAAGCCTGCTGACCTAAGTTTGATCCCTAGGGCTCACTCAGTATGAGAGAACTGACTTTAAGAGTTTTCCCTGATGTTCTCACATGCACTCACACACATGCATACACACACACATGCACACATACTCCCACACATACATACATGCATACACACACATGCGCTCACACATAAACACACATGCACTTGGACACATGCACACCTAATGATAAACAGAAATGTAATTTAAAATTTTTGTAAGAAGAAACCAGACTGTAGGAAACAGTAATGTCACAGGGAGAGCTTGAGGTCCTCCTCATGTGTCTAGAAAAAGAGCACTCATGTTGAGGATGTTGGTGGGAGCCAAAGAGTTCTTCCTTCCTCCCTCCCTCCCTTCCTTTCTTCCTTCTGCCCTCCCTCCCTCCCTCCCTTCCTTCCCTCTCCTCCCCTGCCCTCTTTCTTCCTTCCCTCTCCTCCCCTCCCCCTTCCTTCCTTCTTTCCTTCCTTCTTTCCTCTTCTTTGTAGCTCTGGGAACTGAACTTAGAGCCTCATACCTCTCTACCACTAATCTGTGTTCCCAGCCCATGACCTCTTTCTTCAACAATGTTCATTCCCACACCTGACCTATGACCCACAGCCTGCCAGGGTCACTCACCTAGAAATGGCATTGGGTAGAAATGATGCCCATGTAATTGACCATTTAATGAGGCCAGTGGACCACCTCACCTGGTGTTCTGGGCCGATAAGCAGAGTGACCATTGTCCTGTCTTTTGTGTCTGTTCCAGCTGTGCGCTCACTGGCGGAGATCAGATCAGAAGATGAGCTGAGTCAGCTTTTCCCAGAAGCCATGTTTCCTGTCTGTCCTGAGGGTGGGGACAGTCTAGAGGGATCCATGGAACTACTAAAGAAAGGTCTGGAAAGTGGTACAGTGCTGATCCAGTTTGAGGTAAGGGGATCCCAGGGCCTGAGTCTCCACCCATTTACTGTCATTCACTGTGTGCCCCTGCTACGCCTCTGCTGCAACTGAGTAGCAGGCGGCAAAGCTGGAACATGGTTCTGTCTCATTGGCCAAGGTGACTCTGGTTCACAGGCCTCAGACTACAGTCTCAGTGAGGACCGTACTATAAAGGCTCACGCTCCCCAGGTCAGATGGGAACCTCCTCTCAGGCTCAGAGTGATGAAGCATCAGGTGAAGGCCCAGGGCCTCTTCCAGGTGTTCAGCTCTCCTAGCAGCAATCTGTAGGCAGGCCTGGCCTGTCAGAAACTGAGGATGAGGGGCTCTGAACCTACAGAGCTGCCAACAGGAGCTCGAAACTCCACAGGACAGAAAATGGTGCCGTTCACAGGATAGCAGCACGTTAGCACTCTACCCCCAACTACACTTGTGATTTAGAGAGTTGGTATCACCCCCACGAGGGCACGGTGTCTGGCCTCCCAAAGCCACCAGACCACAGAAACATAAAGTCTGTGCTGTCTTCTCAGGGAGGATGGCTCTGCAGTAGGCAGGGTCATGCCTCACCTGCAACAGCGCCCACAAAGCCCCTATCACACAAACCCCAAAAGCACAACTGCTCTCAAGTCACTTTTATCCACCTCTAACCAAATGAAAACAGAACGTGGTCATCTGCCATGTGTTTGAAGGTAGAAGAGAGCAGTTGTTCATGCAATGAACAGGTGCCTCCTGCATGGTGCCTGGGTGTGCTGAAGGCTGACGCAGAAGGATCACAGGTTCAAGCCTAGCCTGGACCACATAGTAAGACCCTGTCTCAGAAGGGGTCTTGGGGTAGGAGAGAGGAGAAAAAGGAAAACAAAAGAATCTGGTTAACAGTTTTACACAGTAAACAATGCCATACATGGTCTCAACTCACAAAGTAGGCATAAGAGGTGCCAAATGAGATTCAGAAACAGATCAACAATACATCATTTACTAGAAAAACCCTAGAAGGAAAAAGACAAAGGAAGGTGGGCAATCTGTCAAATGTATTGACTGCAGGGTGACTCAGGAAGAAAGTGTAGCACAGATGGCAGACGAAAAGGAATGCCAAGCAAAAAGCCTTAAGCAAAAGCCTTACCCAACAGTAGCCTGGGGCCCAGAATGTAAACTATGTGAGAACAGTGTGAGCTGAACGCCAGTAGAAAGAACTCCATGGGAGAAAAAGCAAAGGTGGTTGACTTCTCCCTTCCACACACCCCCCCCCCACATCAATAGAAGATTCTCAATTTTTTTAAAGCCACCAGTACCCTGGACGAGTAACATAAAAGTTTGCATCTTGTGGTGGTGATATTTGGGTGAGAAATTGTGACATGAATACTCCAGAGTAACTGAAGCAAGGATGTGAATCCAGGCTGAGACTCCATGAGTTTCCTCCTTTTGGTGCTGGGGATGCTGTGAACTGGGAGGGCAGTGGTGGACTATTTGTTGATTCTGCCAATATGTCGGAGTTACTCTGGGGGCATGATGAGGGATGGAGAAGGAGGCTTCTAACCACAAGGAGCCTGCTGTTTAATTTTGATGTATTTTGGGGGCTGTATCATGGGACCAAGCAAGACAGGGTAAGATTTTATAATTGTGAGTATGTGTTTACTGGCAACTGGTAATTCCAGTTGATCAGAAAATCCACAAGGAGGCACTGTCGGCTCTCCTTGGGAACTTGAAGCCATGCTCTTTGCCTAACCAAAGCCTCTGTGCTATTGGCTCAACTTTGGTGTGCTTTTTACATCTAAGAAGCCCCCATAAGGTTCTCCTTGCAATGATTGCAACAGCTTCTAAAAGGTTTTTAAGAATATTTCTTTCTCATCACTGGAAGTCCAATGCCCAATCCTTTGCACCACACAGCCACCTTGGAAAGTATTTCTTAAAGGGCAAGCCTGAAGCCACTTGTACGGAAATCACACGAGGAGCCGTGGACCTAGCCCACAGCTACCAGGCATTGATGTGTTTTGGTTTGGTTTGGTTTTGGTTTTTTCAAGACAAGGTCTCTCTGTGTAGACCAGGCTGGCCTTGAACTCACAGAGAGATCCACCTGCTTCTGCCTCCCAAGTGCTGGGATTAAAGGCATGAGCCACCACTGCCTGGCTAGACATTGGTGTTTTAACAAAGTCACCTGAGATTCTATGAGTGTTTAGGGGCACTAATTTATTATTAGCACATGGTATGGCAGGGGGCTTGTGCTGCAGCGTGCACGAAGAGGGCAAAGGACAGCCTTGTGAAGCCATGTGTTTTCTTTTTTGTTTTGTTCTGGGGGTTTTTTGTTGTTGTTTTTTGTTTTGTTTTGTTTGTTTGATTTTTGTTTTTTGTTTGTTGTTGTTGTTGTTGTTGTTTTGAGACAGGCTTTCTCTCTGTGGCTCTGGCTATCCTGGAACTTGCTCTGTAGATCAGGCTTGTTCTCGAACTCAGAGATCTGCCTGCCTCTGCCCAACGAGAGCTGGGATTAAAGGCATGAGCCGCCACATGCCTTTTCTGGCTTGTTTATTTTCTTTTATGTGAGTTTTGGAGATTGAACTCAGGTTGCCAGACTTTCGCATCAAGCACCTCTATTCATTGAGCTGCCTCCCTTGTCCTCGCTTGAGGTTTTGATGCTTCAAATGATCCCAGAGAAGAAGGTAGAAATGGTATTAGGCCCATTGCCCACTACTGCCTCTCCCTGCCCTCCAGAGGATGCCTTAAGAATACCCACAGCTGGGCAATGGTGGCACACACCTTTAATCCAGCCCTCAAGAGGCAGAGAGGTGAATCTCTGTGAGTTTGAGGTCAGTCTAGTCTACAACAGCTAGAACTGTTACACAGAGAAACCCTGTCTTGAAAAACCAAAAAAAGGAAGGGAGGGAGGGAGGGAGGAAGGATGGACATTGGGGTTTATACTTCAGTCTGGTATACTTCTTACTTCATGTTCTAGGATATTCCTCTTTGAAATAATGTCTTATTGAAGTCTAAGATAGTGACTGGATAAGACAGATCTAATCTGCAAGGAGCTGCTGCGATCCCACAGCTCTCTGGGTGTTCCTCGCTGCCCCTCAAGGAGCCCTAGGCTCCTGGGAGCATCATGTGACACCCACCATCTCAGGGTGGGAGGTTGTGTGTCAACACTAAGCAGCAGGACCCAAGGGAGACCAGAACAAACAGGAAACACCCAGGAAAGGCAGCCTTGGTGAGCCCTTGCTGTGTCCAGGGCATCAGCTTCTGAAATTCTCACATCACTTCTGTTAGAGCAGTTTCATCCCATAGCACACAGGAGGGAGCAGAATCTCAGATTCTCATAGTAGAAGTCAGAGAGCCTGACTGGAGCCCAGAGAGAGTACCAGTACCTCAAGCTTGTTCTTTTAACCACCACATACACAGGCTTAGGAAACTAAGATGTTCTTGGCCCTTGAAGTTGTCATTAGAGGCATACATGCCAATGCTATCTGGGAGGCTGTCTAGCCACATGGAGCCAGACATTAAATTCTGGCTCTACCCTTTACCCCCACCCCTTAACCTCTATGGCCCTTGTCTCCCCATGTGTAAATTGGATGTCTCCTGAATTGATTGTTAGGATTAGATGAGATAAATGCTTACTGCATCATCTGGCCCTTGATAAGAACACTATAAAAATTAATAGCTGTTATTATTTAAAAAACAAGAGCGGCTACAAGAGCCATGTCCAGCCTGCATAAGGTATCATCACTTGGCACTGAGCTTGGAGCCCTGGGCTGTCAATTCCAGAGTCATGGCTGTCTGAGTCCTTCCATCCTCCAGTTCCTTGACAAATGGCTTTTTGGCTTATGGACTCTGTGGACAAGTGTGGGATAAAGATCCTGGTTCCCAGCAGGCATTGACGCTGCCTCCTTCATGACACAGAGTCCCTGCCCAAGGGTTGTGGTCTGCAGACTGATATCCCCACCCTCACTCTTGTAAAACTTATTTTAAACATTTTTTTTTTCATTAAGGGAATTCCTTCATCCTTTCCTGTGTCTTCCAGTAAACAGAAGGCATTTGGTCCCCAATGTACCAAAATGACAATAATAATTAGCATTTCTAAAGTACTCTGCAGTCTACTGAGTGTGTCTCACATGTCAGCTACATTAACTCTCCCATCATCTGTGAAATAGATGGGGCAGGAGTTACTAGAATCAGCCTTTACATGCTGTTGCTGCTGGAGATTGAACCCCAGGACCTCTGCTACCCTAAGCATGCACTCTGCCACAGAGCCACAACCATAGCCCACAGATCGCTGTTTAGAAATAGAGCAAAAGAGGTTAGGAGATATTCAAGAACTCATCCAGTGTATACACCTCGTCAGAGAGAGACCTAGAATTAGATCCATGCTGAAAATGAAATCTGGGGCTAGAGAGATAGCTCAGCTGTCAAGAGCAGAGACTGGTCTTCCAGAGGTCCCACGTGCACTTCCCAGCACCCATGGTGGGTGACTCATGATTTCCTGTAACTCTAGCTCCAAGGGATCAGACTCTTCGTCTTTTAGCCTTCTCATGCACCTACACTCACGTGTGCAAATCATCACAGGGATACACACATAAACATAACAAAAAATAAGATAGAGCTAAAGACAAACCCCTAAAAACTAAAATATACCTGGGTTGGTATTGGGCACCTGTAGTCTGAGGTAAGAGGATCATACACAGGAGTTTTGAGACCAGTGTGGACAGCATAGCAAGACCTTGACTCAAATACACATAAAAATTCAATCACTAATCTGTCAGTGGTGGTGTACTCCTTTAATCCAAATACTCAGGAGGCAGAGGCAGGCAGATCTTTGTGAGTTCGAGACCAGCCTGGTCTATAAGAGATAGTTCCAGGACAGCCTCCAAAACCACAGAGAGACCCTGTCTGGAAACACTCCCCCCTCCAAAAAAAGAAAGAAAGAAAACGACAAAGCAGAGAGAAGGAGAGGGAAGGAAAAGTAAAGGGAATGATGGCACATATGTAATTCCAGCACTCAGGATGTAGAG